GAATCGCCTTCACCATCTCCAGTTGCTCCTCCGTCCGGAAACATACCCCGTTCACGCTGACATCCAGTCCCAGCTCATCGGTCAATTGCCGCATCTCGCTCACAGAGCCAGTGAAGGAATGAACTAGCCCGCCCTTGGGTAACCGGGGTAGATACGGACGGATGATCTCGATGAAATCGGCACAGGATTCCCGAACATGCAGGAACAGCGGGAGCTGGAACTCCACTGCGAGCTCGAGTTGATCCTTGAATGCGCGGATCTGCGTCTCCTTGTCCGCGCGGTCGAGGTACTCGTAGTCCAGACCGATCTCGCCGAATGCTACGAGCGGGGAGTTCTCCTCGCGCAGGAGGGATTGGCCTATCTCGCGGATCTGGGAGAGATAGGATGGTTCGTTGGTAGAGGCGTATATCTCCCCCGCGTGGTAAGGATGCACGCCTAGTGTGAGGGTGCATGTTTCTGGATGCTCGCGGACAAGTTGCAGGTTGCGATGGAAACCCTCCAGGTTCATGGTCGTCAACATCATTTTCTCGCAGTTGTAGGCTTTGGCCCGCTGGATTACTTCTCCGAAGTCCGGGGCATGGTATTGTTTGCCGCGGTAGATGCCTTGGAATTGGTCCGCCGTGTAGGTTACCGCTACCTGGTTACTTGTCAGTTGAAAGTGGGTATGTTGTGCTGTGGTTGGGCTTACATCGGCGAAGCGGAGGGGCTCGGAGTCTGTCGCCATTGTTGCAGGGATGGCTGTCTGATGTTGCTTAGGGGGCCTTGCAGTATCTATGGTATTGAGTAGAGAGTGTGCTTTTATGGTTTTGATAACCAACCTAGTATATCTGAACGTCAGAAGGGGAATGGTGGAGAGTGGCTCTCGCTGGAGATTGTCTTGGATAAGGCGCGAAAATTTTTGGCGAAGTGCTTGGCGCATCCGACGATCTTCAGCATGATGTTTCTCGCAACCACTTCTTCAGCTACAAACTGGATGCGGTACATATGCACGCTTGAGTCTTAGGGGATGTTTTTCACGTCAAGTTTTGGTGTTCTTGGCGTACAATTATGGGCGAGGGTACATTCTCTAGTAGCCCCGAATATATATCTGCGGGAGCAAAGCTATTGATCCCCGTTGTGGAGTACCAGTAGTAACACGATGAGTCCAGAGGACAATTGCTTAGTATACCACCAATGAGACTATTTCAGTTCTACTATGAGTTTAGCCAGTAACATTTAAAAGCAGACGAAAGGAAAATATATACAACTGGGTGATATGTCTAGTACTATGATTCTACTCCTATATTTCTTTATTTCTAAACCCCGTCTAATCTCTACAAGACAGATGGCAAATACAGTCTGCGGTCGCAGGCTGTGACGCAGAACCAGCACGCAAACAACCCATTCGGCAATTGTTCTATTGAGAAGCAAGTAGCGCCCCGGAGCTTTGGACCTCGTTATGCGAAAAGCAGATGCCCATGAATTTGACCATCTCGGCAGCTACAGTCGTCAGTTTGCGTTCGTCAACAAGCGGCGATAACCTCACCAGTAATGCGCTTGGCAGTTGTATCAATCTCATCTACTCCATTAATGCGTGTGTACTCCAGAACCAAGTCGACACGCGACCGTCTCGCTTTCTCGTACAGGGCCAACCGAGCCGGGATGTCCTTCACGGGAGTCCCAGCTGGGAGCAACACCGCTAGGGAAACCGCATCTTCAATGGCCATGGCGCCTCCTTGACCCATGTCTGCTATCGTTAGGTTATGTGCCGACAGTGGTGGAGTGAGGAACTCACAGGGCTGGAAAGGATGTGCTGCATCACCCAGTAAAGCGGAGCATCCCCTAACCCACGATGGGAGAGACTTCATATCGAACAGCTCCCAGACCTTGAGATTCTCGTCCGCTCCGTGGACAAGCTCCTTGACTTCCGGACTGAATTCGGAGAATCCATCAACGAGAGCACTCTTGTTGCCGACCGCTTGCCAGCCTGCGATAATTGTTATGGACAAATTCAAGCGACACGGTTAGGGGGGCGGGAAATACCTTCGGCGGCATCACCAGCTTCGGCAGTGGGAAGGAATGCACAAAGATTGAACATCGTGTTGTCAGAGCAGGGATAAGCCACGAGTCGGCGATCTCCGCCGGCCCATTCGATGAACACCCCGGGATCGCGCACGATATTCTGGGTGGCAGGGAGATGGCGCAACTTCTCCGTCGGCAGAAGCCATCTGAAACACGACTTGCCAGCCGGGAAGGGAGGAGGGGGTGTCTGTCCGATCACCTCCCGGACGACAGACTATATACGGTGAGTAGACATTTTATCGTCAGCAGCAAGGAGTAGTACATACGTGCAGACCGTCAGCTCCGAGGAGCAGATCCGCTTCATGTCGGTTGCCGTTGTCGAGTGTGACAGATGGGCGCTGGCCATCGAGATCAATATTGACGATGTTGCAGCCCATGTGAAGTGTGGCTGTCTGGATGGCGCGCTGCTTGAGGTAGTTGTGTAGGTCGACTCGGTGGACCAGATACCATTCCTGGGTTGTTAGTGTGATTCGTCTCTCCAAATTTGTATGGGGGCCATACTGCCTGCCATTTCTGCCGGATCTCGGAAAAGTCTTTCAGGTACTTCAAGTTGCCGACATGGTCATATCGATGAATCTGTAAGTTTAGCACCTGCGCATATATCAAGGAGTGCTAGGTATACCTGCTCCAACAAAGTGCCACCAAAGTTCTTGGGGTCAATGCCCAGCCAATTCAGCAGAGCGGTGCAATTGGGAGGCACATGGATGGCTGCGCCCGTCTCGCGGGAAAACTTGGATTTCTCGATAATCTGTAGTCCTCAGTATATCTTTTCGGGGTCGATGTTTCTATAGAAGCAGTTGACGTACCACAACGTGATGGCCCTGCTGGCCCAAAGCAATGGCAGCCGTCAACCCCGCAATGCCGGCACCGACGATGAGGACCTGCAGCGGTCGGGATTCCTGAGAGACCGTCATTGGACAGATTGGAATATCTTAGTGTGATGCTTAATTCCTGGTCAAAATAGCAGTTTGACCCCTGCTCTCTGGACAGCCTTTAATACAAGATGAAGACATCCCCAGCAGGTCGGAAATTAAAGACTCGGGGATTTCCTCGGAGATAAGACATCCGTCGGAATGTGCTGCTCTGTGCTGTCCTATAAAACTTGCGAGTCCAAAAGAAACTCTGTACTGAGAGACACGAGGTCCGTAGAATCAAACGAAGCAATATGGCTGGTTGAACAACTAGAAACGAAGCTTATATTAATGCTTGATGATGCTAGAAAACAGGAACTAGAGAGGTATTCAGAAAATTATAGAATAGTTAAACTGTAGGAGGAAGGAGATATTCTACCTACTCGAGCCTGGATTAACGTAATCAACGGTCGGACGGGCCACACGGTCAGGCGGGCCATCTGGTAATACTATACAAAAGATATCTTTTTAAACATAATATATCTCTACCATCCAGGTCTAGAAGAATTAGATTTCTTCTATATAGATTTTAAATAATATAAATAATATCTATATACCTTCTAAAAATGAATATACTTTTACTTATGGACTTATCATATTACAATATCTGTATTTATATGTATTATATAAGAATCTGGTTTCATTATCAAAGTAAAAATTCTAAAAATCTGAAAAATTCATGGAATACTTATTCTTATATATATAAACTATCTACAAAGTTAGAGCTTCATAGAAGTAGTACTGGTTGATATATAATAGAATCAAAAAGACATCTTTTATATGGGATTTCAGGATGGCCCGCCTGACCGTGTGGCCCGTTCGACCGTTGATTACGTTAGCAGCTCTGAACCCGCAAGTCTTAGTCAGCAGGATCTGACTCAGCCCGGTACGAGCGGGCCCGGGTGAGTCCGGCACCAGCAGATGAGCCCTGCCATGTCTAAACATATTAATAAAATCTAATAGTATTTTTTAATTGATATATATTATTATACTCAGCTACTACATAATAATTAGAAACATAAATATTACTTCTACAGGATACTGATCTATAAATCAGAAAATCTATATTTTAAATAGTATACCGTATTATATAGACCAGTTACCAAGCAGGACCCCACAGCTACTTATACTAAAGAAAGGGCACACAAAGCGCCGAGCAGTAACTATTATATAGTATTTATTATCTGTTATATTGCAAAGTCCGCACGCAGTATTTCTCTTATCTCAGTCCGGCAAACACGCACTAGAGCCTGTTCCCTACTATAACGGACGGCTTTGATATTACCCTGAGTAGATGATCTTCGTCCACGGGTAGCCCCTTTCTCTGGAGCTGTTCATTTCGATTGCGCATAACAAAGATCCTAGTTAGGAACCGTAGCGTCGCCCACTCTCTCAAGTCTTTCCACCTTTCATCAATTGTCTGGCTCTTGCGAATATAGATCGTTTGGTATAAGGAAGTGAATCCTTACAAGCCACTTGTATGTGTGTGTACCTGAGTATATAGGGTACTTTAGGGGTCCGCAGAGTATCTGCGGGTAATGCTGGCCTTATGGTCGACCTTGTATTGACTTTTCCCCCTAAAGAGAGTCTCTTACATTTGGCGATCAACCACTTCGCGGCCACCGACGGAGATTGGCTGCTTGGCATAAGCACTAGCCCTAGTGTATTAATGGTCCAGCTCCTTCCGATTTCTTTGAGAAACCTGAGCGAGCTAGCTTCTAGTGCCAGGTTGGTGGAGTAGGGATGGTGTACTTACACTTTTGGGACACCATTCTACGAAAATTCAACTTTCACTCCAAGAAGTCGTTACAATCTAAACGAATCACGTGACAATGATGGACTCTTATAATGATACTTTAATTCACTGAAATGGACTGAAATATTGCCTAACATAGTATGTAATTGTAAATATAGATTAGCGTGTTCTCTAGCTTTACATATCGTAAAATCCGTTACGTGACATCTTGCCAAGAATCATGAGTTTCAGCGAGGTTTATCCGTCAAATGATCCCCGGGTGAGGGGGGGAACACTAAATTAGAGTTCTTATTGTCAACCCCACAAGGCTTTGTTAGTGATGCAACATGAGACTGGGTTCCAGTTAGAAGCGCTATGAGGGGGCACAGTCGGTTAATTTAATTATCCAGAAAATAGCACACCGGTTCATCTCTATCTCTAGCTCCATTTATCAGCTTGGGTCTATACACAGTCCTTATCAGGCCCTGTGTCGGCATAGTCCATATTAATTAATAAATCAAATATCTCGCAATACTGTGGTTGTATTAAAAATGAAATTCTTCTAATAAGATATGATAACAGCCGCACAGCGCTATCTTGATTTAATTCTATCAGATATCATCTTCCGCTTGACGCCAGGAGCAATATGCATGTTCTGGTGTTAGTAATTGGCCTGGAGGATCCTCGGAGATTGGATTCTTATAGGTTCCGTAATAAACTGATAATTTAATAGAAACACTAAAAGCCTACGGAGATAGCAGGGGAAGGGTAGATAAGATTTTCAGTAGAATATAGCAATGAGGGAACAACAAGACAATGCCTTATCTGCCACTGGAAAGACAGGCATCATCAAAGTCACTTAAAAGCCAGCCTCCTCGAGTTGTGCATGGAGGTGACTTTCTTTTACGCTTCTGTCGCTCATTCAGACAGAGAAACATATACTCACTGTAACACCATTTTGTTCTGCTGAATTTACTCACTCACACATTCATTTGCTATATCGTATTAGCTCTACAGTCGGTTCCCACTATGGCTAATTCAGCTGCCACCATCAAGTTCCTCATCTCGACGCTGTTTCTTCGCCATGCCCTGGCAATTCCATTTTAGCCTTTCCCCAGCAAGGCCGACGTTGTTCCGTCCGCAAATGGATCCAACCTGGCTGCAAGGCATCTGGTCAAAAGAGCATTATAATACCCCGGTGTCCGGTACAGCTCTAACTTCAGTGCGGCGCAGCAGGAATACCTAGAGACCGAGTTGAATGAAATCCAGACCATGGTGAGATCGTCTCAACGCAGTCTTGTTAGAACTAGATACCACAAAAGTAGTACTTGCATGAACGGCCCGCGTTGATATGTTTGTCCTCAGATGCCGTAGTCCCATTGGAGGTAGCCTAGCTCTCTAGAAGCCCTAGTCTACCCAAAGCTACTTGATAACACTATACACGAGTCCATGGTATGCGTAACATGCAGTAACACGGGTTGAGGACTTGGGAACTTCTCCAAGTTGGTATTTTGGAGAACCTTCGCCGAAGTGGATGGACATCATGTCCAGATGGAGGAGGGTCGAGCTTAGACCTTGCTGTACGGTATGCATTGCTGTATTGTTTCAAGTTCATTATTTCTTAGTAGCTACACTCTACAAATACCAGTTCACAATTCCCGTAGAATATGTGGCTTCCGTGGCACGAATCCTTCCCTTTAGGCACACACACGTACGCACGCACAAATTTATCTTGCCCTGGTTCCCAACGCTCATAGGCTCCCCGAGACTCGGCGAGTTTGCGGTTTTTCTAGATGGATCCCAACTTATAATATTCCGATGTCATCTAACCATGAATGTGTTATTATATATCTTTCACGAAAAATAAACAGCGCCGGGTATAAGCCCAGATAGATATAAGGTAGGAAGATGAGGCAGAAGAAAATTGACACCCGAGGAAAATAGCAGCCCATTCAGATTAAATAGCCTTTTTCTACGTATGTATTACGTTGCCCTAGGAAAAGGTTATATGGTTTATTGGAGTAGCGGAGGATAGGAGGAATCCGCTCTCACCAGATCAGCATGTGGACCGACTCGATCGACATTCAACGAAGTTATAAAATACATGGTTCTATTCTCAAGGCCTAAAGCGCATCATGTTGCTGGGATCTAGCAGTAAAAAAGATTCGTACCGAATGCCTTTGTTAGAGACATTGGTTGGGTCACTCATAGTTTCGGTGATCTGAGGCGATGCAGTGGTCCACCCCTGCAGCAACGCCCTCCAGTAGCATGCATCAGCAGCTGGAGTCAAATATCGCTCGCGAAATACATCCACATTGTTGTCTGCAATCATGCGAGCCTTGATAGGGTTATCGAGAAGCTCTTGGATCTTGTGCGGTAAATCCGTCCAGTCCCTCTCCACCTGAACAAAGTTCTGCTGCGGACCGGACGAGACGAGAAGATAGTGGTGATGTTGAATATATTGTAATTCATGAATCACTATTACCGATCGACAGGCTTGGCGATATTTGAGAGACGCTGAGTAGGACCGACCTAGAAGACATTAGCTGGACTATCTCGTCGATATTGGTAATGCTTAGACGATGCAATACCCCATACCTTCCACGTGAGCGATGAACCGGTAATCACAATGATTGTCCATGCTAAGGTAGTTGGCCTTGTTCTTCCACTCGACCTCCTTCACATCTGCCCAGGCGTAATTCCGTGCAATCTCGAGTAGGGCACGTCGTAGCTTCGGGGCGAAACTGAGCTTTCCACGCCAGACCAGTTTGTTCTCTTTCTCGTCCCACGGGTGCTCATGCTCTTCCACGTGTTTGACTACCTCGTCATATGGCCCAATCTGAGTATCAATGTGGCCCCAAGACCAGAAGCCAAAGTCTGGCATAAGCCATACGGATTCTTCAGTAGCCTTCCGTGCCAACACCCAGAGCGGATGATCTGGTCCAGCAACGTCCTCCAGTTTGTCTTCAACAGAAAAGATAATTTCCGTGTTTAGAATGACAGCGAGCTGTGGAGCCGAGACGAGGGCGCGATGAATTGAAGCCAAGATCCCTAGAATCTTACGGCGGTGATCCTCCCCCTTCGCCAGAGCTCTAAGGACATAAAGTCGTCCTTGATAGATAGCCACCCTAGCCATGCCGTCTGCCATTTTGATATTGTCAATATCAATCCTCTTGATTCCATGCCTGGCTGTCCAGAATGACTGGGCGCGGATGGGATCTTCAAAAAGGCCCGGGAAGAGAGTGGTGCACTGAGTCTCATTGTATGAATACTCAAGCGGATCAAAGAAAGTTCGCGTGGGAGGTGCAGAGGACGAGGAAACAGTGTCATGAAAGGGCAACTGGGCGGGGCATCGAAGACAGCTGTCACACTCAAAGATAGCAGCAGTGTGGCAAGCACAGTGGCCAGCGGGGATTAGTTGATTGAGCAGTGGATGGATGTTGTCTCTATCACTGTTAACTCCTAACCACAGTGACCAGATAGAGATCCCAAGAAGCGCAGCCAACGCCAAAGTGACTATGTGGAAGGCACTAAATTTCATATGCCGCCACATATCGGCGATTCTCTCGTTGTGTAGTACTGAAAGGATTCGAGTGTACACAGAAATTTCAGGGAGCAATAGAGATTCACCCCAGCAGACGGTAAGCAGTCAGTGGCTAGTAGGGCAGAGGGGGGAAGAGACAACGTCTCTGCTAGTGGTAACGAAGGATTACTCACCTGCAATAGTTGGCCAACTTCAAGTGATATAAAATCACATCACTCCATGAAGCGCTAAATAAAATTACCCGGGTTGGGCATGATTGACCGAAACATCCTTATTACAATTCAAGCCTGTTGCGATATCCACAATTTAAGAAATTCTACGGAAATAGAGGCGTACTTCTGAGGCTTCGCTTTCTTTGTTGTGGACCTTTTGGACCCTTAACGGACCCACTACAGGTACCTTCTTGGGAAAGGATCAATTTGTCCTTGTTAGGCCCTACTACTACTTAGTCAAATGGCTTACCATAATACGCACGGTTACTGCGCCGCATGGGGCTCTTAATGCCCTAAAGGGCGTGCTCAGCTGAACCCCTTGTCATGTAATATCTAACACATGTGATCCGCCTGTGAAAAAGTTCCTCTAAGCATACTAATTCACCCTAGTTTCAGTATAATTTATCTTCGCCATTTCTCCCAACCCTCCGAGACGCAAATAGCAGTACACAAGTGACCGAGCTATTTACCACAATTCTCACCCCCGCTGCACCCTGTTTATGTTGGTTTCTCATTCGACGCATCTGTAAAAGATGTCAGCCCTGGCCCCATTTATAGCAATTACCTGTACGTCGGGGCGGGCCACTATACTACTTCTGGCAAATGTTGTGGCTGCTTGTCTTGGTTCCACAACGAAAATAATCTATAACATTCGACGTGTTTGCCTGGTCCCATAACATAGTGGGACCCTAGGAAATATTATCCGTTAAATATGAAAGTATCGGTTGGAATTGGTATTACCGGCAAATGCAACGTGCAGCTTTGTGGTCGAGAATTGTATAGTGATCTATAATCTCCTTCTTTGGTAGGTGTCAAGAACCTTGCCAAGAGGAAGAGTCAAAACAAGACCATAAGGCTATCATTACCCGCAGATACTCTGCAGACCCCTAGAATCCCATATATACTCAGGTTCGCACTGGGAGGAGGTGGATATCTATTCTTGTAAGGACTACCTTCCTTACAGTAGAACTAGAGGTGCAACGGGGACCTCGGCAAAATTCTTGATACCAAGAATAGTGTAAAGCCAAGCAAATATCTAGATTCCCTGTTGAGTGCCGTATGTATATTTGTTTGCTCGTTTTTCTACTAGGGCTAAGGACTAGGTAAAGAAGGGTAAGTGTTGCATGTCTATGTCTCACACCGAGTACACGGATGTCAGATTAAAACCAATGTTGGGAAGGATGCTTAAAGATTTCCATGCGACCCAGCGTGTTCCAGAGTCATGTACTGATTAACCACATGGTAATCGAATCGAAAGGGAAGAGTTCGAAGCCAAAGAAGAAGGTGAAGATGTTGAGACTCGACTGACCACGCCGGCCGATGCCATCATTCGCACTGGCCACCCTGGGTTATGCCAGCCTAGCCGGACGTCGAGGCAGCGCAGTGCCGGCTCCTTTAGTGCCCTTGGTAATCTTCTTAATATTACCTAAGGTATTGACTCTCCATAGGCAATATATGCCACGGCGGAGTGTTTCGTAGATTCTAAGGGTATCCATAGAGTATAATCTCACTCTCATAGTTGGAAAGTCAACCCTTAGGCGCTGGTGTCTTGGAGTTGAACTTGGCCCATGTAACCTCAAATGACAGCGCTCATGAATTGAAAACGGGACAGTATCAATCAGTTCCGAGAGCGACGAGCGACCAAGACGAGGAAGAATGCGTCCGATAAAGCCGTTAGCTCATACTAGAATTAAGCGTGCTTCGCTTGGCAAGGTGCTACTGTGTCATGTCTTATTGCCTCATCAGTTGTATATGCCTAATTGGATACAGGGTTCTATGCGGACAAGTTTGATAGCTCCGTAATGTAAATTCTCGGCTTCCCCGGGGCTTTCTTATCAAAGCATTTCAGTCCTTCGAGGTGGTTTCTTAGAGGCATACCCATGCGTAGCTTATGGTCTATATACTAATCATCGTGGGGGTTAATAACAGTAGGTGGCGAAGGCCAGTAAAGACTAGTGCAAACCCTTGCAGGTGCAATATTACTAGAGCAGTGCACATGGTCTGACTCACCATAACCTAATCCTGGACGAATGATAGTAGTGTACCGCGTAGGGAGGTTCTCACTTTTCGTGTCTCCGCTTTTGGTTGTTAGCCACGTAGTTCGGTGACAGTGGAAGCAAAGGCTAGTAAATGAGACTTATATAAGGAGGCCCCTAAACACCCTCGAGTCACTTTTATTTCCAAACCATCTAGAGCAATTCTCCTGACTCCAAAAGCTCCTTTCAAACATATCACGAAGTTTCTTATTGTCTCTCTCCCATTCCTCTCCACATTGGCATCGGCCTTTATTCCCGCGGATCCTGAAGACAGCGTGGAGACCGCCACCCCTACTCCTTTTGGCCAAAGTTTGATAGCCGGTCCTTCGTTCAACTGCAAAGGCTCGAGCCAATATGGCCATTCCCAGGCATGACTGGATACTGCCAAAAGGCTGTTGATACTATGCTTCCAGGTCTAACTAACCTAACATGTTCTAGCAGTGGCCGTACGGGCAACTGCTGGGGTGCACCTGACGGTCTTGGATGCGGTGTCTTTGTTGCGGGGCCTAGAGGGTGCACTAGAACCACCGAGCAGATGAAAGCAGCATTCAACAACATTAGGGCCCATGACTGTAAGATATGCGGCACTGTTACGGACGATGATAATGGCAAGGACAATTGTCAGATCAAAATTGACTACGTCACTGGATGCAACAACCACAATTAAGGACCTGTCATTACTCTAGCTGTTGCCAGCTTGGGGTTCGGTGTATGAAGGACGTCGAATGTGGGAAGCCCCAGCACTGAATATTTTGTTAAGGATCGGCTATTCAAGGGAAATTTTTGAGCAGAGATAAACAGGGTTTGTCATCACTGTACATATAACATTACATTGAATATAGCCTCATTTTTGTCGTACAAGTAGTTGGATTGACATAGATTTCTGTTTGGGCTATCGACGAGAAAGATAGACTTGGTACCACTTACCACAGCAGGTTGTCTCTTCCCAGGTCATAGACAGTCTGAGACAATATCATCTGTAAATCTACCGCGAAGCAAAATATATTAATTAGCCGCCCATAACAATATACTTCTCTTCATTTCAGGCTAGTGGACCATTCATGATTGCTCACCAGCCTAACAGGAAGCCTGTCTGTAGTGTCAGGATACCCCTAGATTGGTCCGCCCAATTAGTTCCTTCCCACGTAACAACATTGCTGCCATATGGGAGCTAAGTTTCGAGCCCGTAGATTCGAGCGCAGCTGGAGTATCGGTAAGGCAACATTAGATATATTGTACGGACTACCCTCTGTGATAGCAGCAAGCTATCACCACGCTACTGTACTTAGACGGTATAGCTTCTGGAATCCCGAGCCTTAATACTTATTTCTCATAATAGGACCAGAAAGCTACGCTTCGGATGGGTACTTACTCTAGCCGACCTCCGTAATTACACTGGGACTAGTGCTAGTTGATACAGTGGGTATATCTACTAGGTCTCGCCATAACGCTTATGACGGTTTATGAGTTAGACTTTCAACGGGATCCCCGATCCTCAAAGAGTTGCTTGAAGATAAACGATCGAGAACAACACCTTACCAGCATTTACATGAAGCATTGTGTGCCATTGAGGAATACGGGGTGCGGAATCTATGTTAGGAGGTGGGTATAGGTCACATGCGTCCATGAAGAAATATGGCGATGGAAGAAAGTATAGATCGCGAATGGGTCGGAGAATGATATCTCCGTGCATGCTAATATCCTTTGAGATTTTCTGTGGTCTTCTAGTCCGCCTCTCGGCATCTTCCCTAGGCTTTCTTACTGATTCACATTATCTCACAAATACCAGAGAGCAGAGCCATGTTCGATTCCCTTCATCAGAGTCTTGCCTCGAGAGGCGACGAAGAGACTCGCTGCAGCTTCATTCAGCAAACAGCTTCAGCGGTCCTGTGTTAGGGCGGAACGAGTTACATGTCAGGAATATATCCCATGCCTAGCGCTTGCGGTACACCCTTTTCCGACTCCCCCTCAACAGTACTAGAGAGCGTTAAATCCCGCGTTCCATGGTTGATCCACCGGGCCGCCGATCTTTCCTCGATGCCGCAGTGAATCCATGATTCCGTTGCTGCATCTCCCCGCCAGGCGGCTCATTCTTTTTCCTGCCAAGGGACCCCTTGAGGTGAACTGATGCACTGCAGCGCTTAGATCTGGAATTAGGGGCAAAGCTAATGCCGAAATATTCTACCATTATGCAGTGCTTGTGCATGTGCGAGCGACCAGGGTGAGCGTTGCGGGTACAGGGTCTAACCTTCGTCCATGGTCCTGAGCAACTTACTTCCTGCACTAATTTTACAGGATGAAAAAAGGTGGCATGATCCCTAGAACATTCCAAGGGAGGAGCATCACCAGGCCAGCCCGCGCATTTGTTTATCAATCAAATCAATTCAGAACGCTGAAGCCGGGCTTTACATTCATTCCACCTCACGAAACCGTAAAACTTGAGCATACAAAACAATGGAACTAAGGCTTGGCATCCTCAACATGTGTCGAACCACCCCTCTCTGCATCTGCCTCCTGTGCTTTAAAATCGGTTTTATCGATCACTTCCATCTCTGCATGCGTCGCAGGGACCGTGGCATTGGGATCCTCCCGGTCCCAGCTCTTGTTCAAGCTGTTCAGCGGCATGAGAGTCAAGGTCAACACTAAGCAGAAAATAACCTAATAGCATACCTATTAGCGAATTACAGTCCAAAAAATAAAAGAATGGGAATCATGTATACTTACAATCCCGACAAGGATCATCTGCGTCTTCGCATAATCCGGTGACCCGTCCGCAGTCGGGAACCGCTCTCCCAGCGACGTCTCAATCGTCGGTGCGATCGACGACACTGCATTACCGATGTTGTATGCGACACCAGTAAAGGCGGCTCTGATACCAGGATGAGGACACAGCTGTTGCAACAAGTTTCCCAAGTTACCGATTGCAGCGCCGTAGAAAAATTGCAAAAAGAAGGCTCCCAGGGCGAGAAGTCCCCATCTCGTGGGCAGCGTCCATAGTGGTAACCACGGAGCGATCAGCAGTCCTGCGCCTGCCGCCACCCACTTAGCGCTCACCTTGTGGGAAAGGAACCCGCCGACCACGCCGCCCAAGATACCTCCAATCTGCAGGATACAGGTCACCCAGGTCTCTTCCAAGATGTTCAATTTGCGTTGGCTGACGAGGAAGGTCGGGTAGAGATCCATGGTGCCGTGGCCCATGGTAGCCAGACAGGAAGTGAGACAGCAGGCGTAGATGAAGGCCTTGTAGTGGTAGCGGAGCACGTAGGCGAGCTTCTTATGGAACGGAAGGTTCCCTCCCACAGCCGCGCGAGAAGTTTGGGCTGGTCCGCTGGCATGCTCTTCATCTTGCGGGGCAGGAGAGGCAACGCTGTAGTAAGGGGTCACTGCGTGAAGGATAGCGATGGGGACTGTCAAGCCCGCGCAGAGCCAGAAAAGAGAGCGCCAACCATAGCCATCTGTCCAGAGAGTGAGTAATGAGTAAAGAAAGGGATCAGTGTGAGCCTACTCATGGCCAGATGCAAGCCAGATGCAAAGAGATACCCGGACGAGAAGCCTTGCTGCGTGAAGCCAGCCACCACACCGCGGGACTTTTCCGGCACCGCTTCCAGCACCGTTGCCATGGCGAGACCATATGTACCACCGTAAGCAACGCCTGGACACATTAGCACGATTATCCCGCTCAGTGTTCACCTGTAGCACCCACCAAAGAGGAACCGGAATCCGATCAACTGGGGAAAGGTCTGCGAGAACCCCGTTGCGACAGTGAAGCCGCACATGAGAACCAGGTCAATGAGCATGGGAATCTTCCGCCCGTATTGATCAGACAGGATACCAAAGATGACTGCCCCTACAGCACGGGACAGCATCGTAGTGGTGTTGGCCTCTGAGACGTTGGTTTCCGCCACGTCGAGCGCTTCCGCCACGGTGCTGAGAGTGAACGGGAGGGCATAGTATTGCAGAGAGCCCAGCGTCCAGCACGCCCAGCAAGCCAGCCAGATCAACGCCTGGACAGGCTTCATGTGCAGCGTAGAGCCAATCTCCCTGGGGAGACCGGCGAGAGTGGCAAGAATGTTCATGGTGAATGTGGACAGAGAGCTTGAGGAAGTGGTCGAGGACACAATCGAAAACTCCCCGAGCGAGGCAACGTTTATACCTCAATCTGGGACGCCATACTTGGCATCATCTTGGCGTATGGGGAATCCTAGATGTGCGGGGGAGGACACAATAGAAGGGGTCTGGCAGTTGGTTGGGTTTTGACCTTAGCGAGGTGGGTTTGACATGTCTCTCTCCCCTCATCGTTCGCCAATCGCCAGCCTCAGGTGGTCACCGAACCGGTTGCACAGTAAGATTGCGGCATAACCTTGCAGACACGATGACGGTCGTCGAGCAGATCTAGTGATGCAGGTCGGCTGTGAAAGCTTTGACCGATCGGAAATATCTCAGCCCACATCGGTGTTTCTGCTCTTCGCCGATGTCGAGCCCTAGATGCTTGATATCAACCAACCAATTCCCCTTCGTTCTTGATGACATTTTCACCGTATCGCGCGACCAAGACCACTAGTTTGTCGCCACCACGACATGGTCTGATCAAATGCCGATCCTCCAGTTCCCCAGTTTCCATCTACAGGGGAAATCTCGAGAAGCAGGCGTCCTGCGGGGGTTGGGTGTCCTTGGGATCCAACAGAATGGCACGACGGACAACGATAGTCCGTACGACGGCTGCGGCGCCGGTCCGGGACGGGCAGATGGAGCATCAAGCTCCAACCAATGATGCAGCCATGCGAAGTCAGCTGGTAGCAACATATATGTCGGTCGTGCATGCATATCTCGCTTGGGATGGCCCATTGCCTCTTCATTTCAGCTCAGGCTGCCCAGAATCACTGCAATTTCAGTTCTCACCTGCCTCCAAGTTGGTAAGACTTATTCCGAACGTCTGTCTGACCTGATCGCACGCCCCGCTCACTCACCATGGCCGAGCTCGTCCCCGATAATGCATGGGATACCCATATTCATGTCTTCGATCCTAAGAAATTCCCCTATGCCGTACCACGCTCGTATACACCTCAAGCCGCCCAGATGGCAGAGTATCCGACGGTCATCACCGGATGCAAGAACATAGTGATCGTTCACGCCTCCATACAAGGGGTCTCGCCGGCCCCGTTGGTTGATACCCTGTCCAAGCAGCAAGAGATGCCCGGTTACACTCTCCGGGGCCTGGCAACCATCGATCCCTTCACCGTCACCGATGAACAGCTGGACGCACTACATGCCGCCGGAGTGCGCGGGGCGCGATTGCACGAGATGGCCTGGGGCCACGGCAAACAGAGCGGCGGCAACGACATCATTAAGAAAGTGGAAGCACTGGCCCACCGGCTGGCCCGGCTGGGATGGGCTATTGGCATCTTCTGCCCTGTCAGTGCGTGGGCAGCCATGGCGGACACGATCCGCAACATGGACCCCCGGATCCAGATGGTGGCTGATCATTTTGGGGGCACATTCCCCGGAGAGGAGTACTCTGCTGAGTTCGCCACGTTTCTGGACCTGATCCGGGAAAAGCGAGTCTGGGTGAAGGTCTCGGGCTTTGAGCGATTGTACCATGGTCACGAGAGCGGCATGAAGGCCATCGAGCCCATTGCGAAGGCAGTGATCCAGGCCGGTCCGGATCGCATTATCTTCGGCACGGATTGGCCTCATACACAGTTAGGAGTGACACGCAAAGGCAAGACCGACCAGCAACGGTTGGAAGAGGTGGAGGGATTTCGGGAGGTTGACGATGCCGGGCATATCCGGACGTTGCGTGAATGGATCCCCGATGAGGAAACCTGGCAGAACCTGTGGGTCAACAACCCGGCCAAATTATTTCAGTAGTTCATTCATTGATTGAATGCCCCGATGACGTCTTCTTGTGTTGACACGATCAATCATTGCGTGCTGTGCTCTTATCTCTCTATCGCATACGAAGCCGATTACCGAATAGCCTTGGAAGCCCCAATGAAATATTAGTTAAACTACCCGGAATACAACATCTGAAGTCTCCTAGGAGAAAGTGGGAAATGGCACCGTAATCATCCTACGTAGTAACTCCAAGAGTATAGGATTTAACATAGGTCCGAGCACTGACAGTGAGATCAACTGCCATGCGGTTTCTAATCGCCGGATCGCCGATCCGAGCCCGCGGGGTGAAATTGCCATCGATAGCCGGGCTGCGGGGACGGGCTTTTATTATAAATCCAAAATTGCCAACTTCCACATCGCAACCACATCACATTCAAATAATCTTGTGACGATACCAGAGGTTCATAATGTCCGACAAGTCTAATCTTCTCATGTTCGGTGCTACTGGCACCATTGGCAAGTACATTATCGAAGCTATCGTCAACGCCCGAGACTCCTTCGGTCGCATCGCCATCTTCACTAGCCCCCACACCGTCAGTAGCAAGCCCGACGAGCTCAATGCTCTGCGTCAGAAGGGAGTCGACATCCTGATTGGTGATGTTGGCAATCGCGAGGATGTGCTCAAGGCATATGCAGGTACATTGTTGCCGCAACTCGCCCTCCCATCCCATATGCACCTTAAAACTAATCGACTACACCAGGCGTGGACACCGTCATCTCCGCACTCGGTCGCGGCGCCATTGCAGCCCAGATCCCTCTGATTCAACTGGCCAACGAAACTCCCAATATCAAGCGCTTCTTGCCTTCTGAATATGGCACGGATATTGAATACAGCCCTGCCTCACAGCATGAGAAGCCGCACCAACAGAAACTGAAGGTCCGCGCAGCTCTCAGAGAGGTCCGTAGTACCCTGGAGTATGCCTACGTGGTGACAGGGCCCTACGTGGATTTTCCGTTTTATCTTGGTCGATCCCGCAATACCAAGGCGGGCACTTTCGATGTATTGGCCAAGAAAGCGGTCATTGTGGGGGATGAGCATGGTAAAATCAGTCTCACAGCCTGTTCAGAGTATGATGGCCCTTGAATGGAAAATCCTCGTCTAGATCTCGAGTTTGCTAATGAGCCATAGTGTTGGTAAATTTGTCGTGCACGCCCTCACACATTGGGATGCCGCTCGCAACCGCGCACTGAAGGTCAACTCGTTCACTACCACGCCGGCCGATGTCTTGGCCGAGTTTGAACGCCAGACTGGTGTTAAGTGGACCGTTGAGTATACCCCACTGGATGAGCTGCGGGCATTAGAGAAGGAGGCGTGGGAGAAGGAGGACCCTGTGGCTACGGTCTACACGCTCCGGCGCATCTGGTCGGAGGGAGGTACCCTGTACGATCGCCGGGATAACGAAGATATTGGCGTGAGGGAAACGAAGGGCCTTCAGGAATTGGTGACAGACTCCATCCGAGCACAGATCGAGGGGGTCCCACCCAAGCATTGAGTTATGGCCAGAGATATGCTTCCTAGAACATGTATTGTTTATATCTTACCTGGTCCTATGTCAGATAGTCCTTGGTCATTCCTGTGTCTTCTGCTAAACCGCAGAGAAAATGTTTAGGCGAATAGCTCGTGGGCGGTAAATGTAATACCCCTACCCATGATACCGGCTAGCGAACCCGGCAGCAGGGCTGTAACTCTGTCGAGGTCACCGAGTCTCTGCTTGGAAGCCCCATTGAGCATGTCGTAGGACATCACACGCACTGGCCGGCTTGCCTTTTGATCAACTGTCATGGAGACCACACCACGGCCATGTCAGATAGAATGCCATTCCTTGTTTATAACCGCCTTGCATCATCCACCAACTGGTTATGGATCATGTTGAAAGATAGGAACCGCACATCCGCCTCGAACATGGTCCAGTGTAGCAGACTCCAGCTCCCGTATATATGTCTCCGAGCTCATCTGCGGCGATGACCTGACAGAATAGACCGAACGGGGTTTCGATCCCCGCCATCTCCGGCCAGTTGCAAACATGTCTTGGCGCACTCGATAAGATATGAATGGTGTAGCAGGAATATGAGAGGGTGGCGCGAAGGGCGACAGATGCCATTGGTGTTACTTCGGCACCCCTAGTCAGCTCACCAGCGACCAAGGGGTTCGTGGATGAGATGTTCGACTTTGGTGAGGTCCAGTTAGCAGTGTACCAAGCATGCTCAAAAGTCAGTTTATGTACCTGATAGTCTTGGGTGTGATGACACTCCTCCTGGGTAACTGGGAGTTATGCTGTGGTCATCGATGCCATCCGACGTTACCCAAAAAAAATCATTGAACTGGATTGTTGCACAGGGTGGCCGTCAACATCTTTCTACCCCCACGACGCCTTTTCATTGCTGTACAAAGGACTGCCGCGGGTCCTCTCTAACGGAGCATCATCCTCCGTGCAGCTGGCAGCGTACACTGACAATATTGGTGAACTTGAATGGAAAAGATACAGCACAACCACAGTGCTACCTCGCTGTGACTCTCACTTCAATGTCTCAAGCGATCGGGGATCTGAGCGTCTGGCAAGTGGGGACAATTGTGGATCGAGGATGAATGTTGTGATCAGTTGATACGGGCTGGCCTACACATGCCGGGAATTCACGGACCGAGATGCTCCGCTACCTCAATCTGTAAACAGCTAGCGTGAGATGGCGTTGGCCCCGTGACCCAATGGCCAATCACAATGTGTTGTAAGCAATTAGTCAGCGGGACTTCCCCTCGTCCCAAAGAGGAAGGAACCGGGACTGAGTGGCAGCCCTCAGTTCGACTTCAACATTTACCCCCTGCTCAGCTTACAGCGCGGGGATATCCAATCCCGTTGTTCATTATACCCTCTAAGCTCAGTATCTCGGGAATTCTTTCGCTTAATTCCCTCCCTGAACGGTCTCCCCGCAGATGTCAGATCGCGACACTGCGTCATGCTGGCTGTGGCCCCAACTAGCTGCTCTTGGCTCCCCCAGATTATCGGGTCCCTGCTGTCTCTGAATTAGCCTGTCCTGGCCCACGCTGCCTTACAGTCCGCTCCCCTCTCATCTCCTTCTAACTGTCTATTTCTCCGAGCAAGGTCGGCCATGTGCGGAAATGAGTCCCAAGCGCCAGTCTTCTCCGACCACCCCCCGGGCCTGTCAATTCTGTCGCGTCCGCAAGATCCGTTGTGACAACGAGAAGCCCACCTGTGGCTCTTGTCAGCGTCATGATCGACAATGTGTCTATGTGGTCGACCCACCCCGCCAGAGGTAGGTGTTCATCCCACCTGGACGCCTCTCGCCATCCTTGGCTGCAATCATCTTGCCACGCATGCGCTGACGCTGCTGCTTCAGGCCGTCCCGGGCTCTCATCAATGCCGCTCACCGCCAGAGGCGTGCGGCGGAAAACGTGATTATTGCACTGAAGAAGGCTGATCCAGTTGCTCGAACTGCTATCCTTGACTCTATTCATGTCAAGGACGGAGTCCTGCAACTGCCGGCATCATTGGCCAGCCTCGGTGCTAGTATCAACGACGTTCCGGTATCCCAACCCACCCAGGCCTCGGACAATAGCTCGAACGTGTACAGTACGCCCAATGACGAGTTGAATGAGAGTAGCTCCGAAGATGATGACTACGATCCCACCACCTTTCTTTCCCGGGACGAATGCGGCACTGTCGGCATCTTTGGCCCGTCGTCGGCGTTGCATGCCCGGAGCCCTCTCGGCCTAGCCAACAGTGCCAACTCACGGCCTGCTGCAGAGCCAGACCGATATCAACTTATCGTCGAGGCCGCCCTCCAGCGCCAACGTGAGCCTGATCTACGTCGTCTACCGACCATTGGAGGGATACCGTCCGAGTTGGCTTTGCATCTGCTCGATCTGCACTGGAACCGGCAGCATCACACATTCCTGCTAACATATCGTCCGGCATTTATGCGTGATCTCGTCACTGGCGGCCCGTACTGCTCGGACTTTTTGCTTAATGCCGTCTTCGCTTGTTCGAGCAAGTTCTCGACACGCATTGAGGTGCGGGAAGACCCGCAACGGCCCGAATCAGCTGGCAAACGGTTCTTCGATAGGTGTGATCAACTGCTGGCAGAACAGTCGCTGTTGACGCATTCGAGCATCCCGACCATTGCCGGATTAATTATGCTTGGCAGCACCTTCAATGCCCGGGGACAGACTTCCAAAGGCTGGCTCTACACAGGATTTGCTCTGCGCATGGTATACGACCTCGGCTTGCATCTGGACTGCAAGGAGGTTGCTGCCAGTGCGGAGGATATCGAGGTCCGACGCCGTGTCTTTTGGGCAGCCTTTATCTGTGATAAGCTCCAGAGCTTGTATTTTGGACGACCTTTCACAATTCAGCTACGTGATGCGCATGTGTCGCGAGACTTCATGGATACCTTTGAAGAGAACGAGTTATGGACGCCGTATATCGACCCCCTCAAGCCAGACAATACTGCCCGCTCTCACGTCCCCACTCGCATTTACTCCGTGACCGTATTTCAGCAACTATGTTCTCTGTCTAAGATTATGACCAGCATTATTGACCGCTTCTACATGGCCGGTGCCACTGGTAGCAAGACACGCAAGCATCTGGAGCTTATTGACCGTCGTCTTGAGATTTGGTATCGTAAATTGCCGGCGGAGCTGCGATTTGAGCCCTGGGCAGATGATGGCCAATCGCCGCACGCCACTGTAGCACCTAATGTCATTATCCTGCTAACTACCTACAATGCCCTCATCATTCTACTCCATCGTCCGTTCATGGGTAATGGGCATCTGCGCTCCGACGACCCGCCCGCGGACTCTTGGGAGCGTTGTGTCACGGCTGCCCGCAACATCACCAGCCTGGCGCTGGCCTATCGATCAGCCTACTCCCTGCGTCGAGCCAACTACATGCTCAGCTACGCGGTATATGTAGCCTGCACCATTCATGCGCGCAATCCGGCCATCCGAGAAAGCACACGCCGCAAGGAGGCGTCATCTCCACTGACAGTATGTTTACGTTGTTTGGACGAGCTGGCCATCCCCAATTGCGGCGTCTCAGCGCCGTCGAAGATCATTCGCCGGCTCATGGAAGCCAACGGCATGTCCATCCAGACTGGTAAGGAGCCTACGCACTTTTCAGCAAACCCCGAAGTCACTAACGACGTTCAGGATGTGACCCGGCTATTCAGGATCCCTTCCAGGTAGATATAAATTTAGATTTCCAAACCTTTCCCGGTCTGGATTTCAGCCCTGCGCGACTTCGATCATGCCAACCACATCTCTGGCTTCCAGGACTTCAATCAGGACCTGGACCTGCTGTTCGGGTTCATGAACGAGCCCGACGTGTCCATGTCCTCCATGTTCACCGGGGTTGTACCCTATTAGCGACCTGTATATGGACCTCACTTTCGAATTAACTTCGAAATCAGAACCGACATTCAATCAAACACATAAAGTACATAACATCATAAAAACATCATATCGTAACTGAATGAGCTCACTCCAGAACACTCGGATCTTCCTTGACCACCTGATCATAATACGGCTGGAAGGCCAACCACATCTTACTCGAGTTCCCACTCTTCCTATGCGTCATCTCCGCCTCCTCTTTGTTGATGTAGACCTTCTCCCACCCCGGTCCGGCCGCCGCATTGGCCATCATCTGCGCGTGACAACACCGATCAAGCGCAATGAACAGGAACGCTGCCTCGTCGACTGTCCTCCCGCAGGTAATCATGCCGTGGTTCTGCAGGATCACACTGCGACAGGTTGGACCGAGGGCCTTGGCGATCCGGGCTCCTTCTTCGGTAGACAGCACGGTGCCTCCGTAGCGAGGGTACACAGCCAAATCGTTGTAAAAGCGAAGGGCATCCTGGTAGAGCATTTCGATGGGCCGCGCAAAGCAGGAGAATGCCTTGCCGTAGACGGAGTGTGCGTGGCATGCGGCGTTGAGGTCGGGGCGTGCTTTGTGGATTTCGCTATGAATGGCGAAGGCGGGGCCATTGATGGGGTGCTGGGCGCCTCCCGGGAGAACTTCGCCGTTCTCGTTGACGAGGACGAGGTCGGATACCTTGATCATGGAGAAGTGCATGCTGAGTGGGTTGATCCAGAAGTGGTCTATCGTAAAGGTGGTTAGTTACTCGTTAGTTGCTGTGGGGGAAGACAGGGTCACTGACGAGGGTTGAGGGGATCGCGCAGGGAGATGTGTCCAGCTACTCCTTCATCGAATCCCTGCCGGGCGAAGACACGGAAGGCCACGGCCAAATGTTGCTTCTGGTACGCGCGCTCATCTTCAATGTTGGCGAAGGTCGGAGGGGAACGGATCACGACCTTGCCCTCTTTGTCACCGAGGAAGTGCACATCATCGAAGAACTTGCTGGTCGAAGCTGATGCAACGCTGTTGCCGTTCTGGGGGGCAGTTTCAGTGACGGTAGTCGTGGCCATGGTTTGAATGCCCTTGAGCGCTATTATATTGATATATATGTATATATATCGAGGTACTGAGTCGTGTATGACAAACGCGGTTAGTGGAAGAGAAATAGGACCAGGATTAAATGCTTAGACGAGTCGATCGGTTGACCCCCGAGAATGGCATATTATATACCCCCTCCACGTGCCTGTTTCCAGAAGGCATCGAATCTCGGTGGCAGCAGCCATTACACTGGGTGAGCCAGTCGGAGCGACAGATCCAGAGACGGAGGGTTGTTCTCCGTCAGACGGAGCTGTGGAACCGCGTCGGAAAGTGGCAAGTCATGGTCCATTTCCAACTCCACAAAACCGTTCGTCTTGTCCCCGCAAGTGATGTCAGCGGGGATGCGTTCGATCCGGCGCATGCGCCATTGCCATTATTATCATTATCATTAATATTATTATCTCTGTGTCGCGCCGGTCGCATAGCCTTGTAAATTGAAAGCGTTTTACCTCATTCTACAGCGTTCACACACTACAACCCAATATCGTCAAAATGAAGGCCATTGGGGTCAGAAACGGCAAAGGCAATGCCGATGCCCTCTTCATCGAGGAGGGTGTGCCTGATCCCGTTCCAACGGGTAATCGCATCCTGGTTCGCATCAAGGCATTCGGTCTCAATCGCATGGACATAATGCAGAGGGAGGATCGGTATCCATATCCTTTGTTGCCTGAGTCAGGGAAGATCATGGGCGTGGAGTTTAGTGGGATAGTGGAAGAGAAGGGCCCCAATTGTGAGTTGGCCCATTCGGCATTGCGAGGGCATTAGCTGACAACAACAGGTTCCGGGGATTTCCAAGTGGGGGACAAGGTGTTTGGTCTTGCATATGGAGGGGCAGTATGTGATTGTTCGCACAGTGCAGGGACATGCAATTGACAAGATACAGTATGCACAAAAGATTTCCGTGTCAGAGAAGATGCTCATGCATCTTCCCCCTACGCTGAGTTTCGAAGAAGCTGCTGGCATCCCAGAGGTAGGATAAGTTACCCCTACCGCATTCATTTTCATCCGACTGATCGGACAGACCTCCTTCACAGCTATCCAGGCGGTCCATCTAGTCGGTAACCTTCAACCTGGCCAGTCAGTACTCATCCACGCTGGTGCTTCTGGAGTCGGTCAATCCGCTATCCAGATTGCCAAAGCCGGCGGTGCATCTAAGATCTTCACCACTGCTGGGAGTGATGAGAAATGTGAATTATGTCGCTCCCTTGGAGCAGACTTTGCGGTCAATTATCGCTCTGGAGAGGACTTCTCCGAGGTAGTCAAGCGAGAAACAAATGGACGCGGCGTGGATCTCATTGTCGACCTAGTAGGACGGGACTATTTCCACCAGAACATGGCCTCAGCAGCCATGGACTCTCGCATGGTCCTGGTCGCTGCTTTAAGCGGGAGCAAGGTGGACGACTTTGACCTGCGTGCACTGCTCAATAAGCGAATTTGGCTGATGGCTACCACGCTGAGAACTCGAGCGGCTGATTATCAGGGACAGTTGCGTGATCTATTTTGTGAGAAGATCCTTCCGCATATCAAATCAGGCGAGGTGAAGACAACGGTGGACAAAGTGTTCTCATGGACGCATGTATCGGATGCTCATAAACGTCTGGAGTCAAATGTGAACGCCGGCAAGATTATCTGTCTGGTGGATGAGAACTGAATCAATATCCGTGCATAGCTTACATCTGTGGTCATATGGGTACTTCTGTATATAAGCATCCTTTATGATCGTGATACAGTTACATGTAACGTCAGCTCAGGGCAAGACAAAACTCGAATTAGATACTGGACTATATAGCGAGATGAGGCAACTTAGAAATAATTGGCAGCTATACTCAAGAATGACCGGTAGAGCCCAGCGACGAACTCTTAAGAAAACGAGACCACGAATCGACCGTCCGCCTCCCCTTTCTCGAGTGCCTGCAGACACGCCTCGATTTCCTCCAACCGGGCTTCAACGATAATAGGTTTGACTCGGCCATCGCGCACATACTGCAGTGCTTGACACGTATCCTCCATCGTACCGGTGCTACTGCCAGTAAGGCGAACTCCACGAGCCACAAAGTATTCTGGGCCAATAGGGAAGTGCATCTTATTAGGTGCTTGTGGAATGTTAGCCTGTGGTGTAGCCCGGAGGTACCATCGTAGCTTACTGATTCCAATGCAGACTATAATACCCATTTTGCGGACATATGTTAGGGCCTGTTCATAAGCCCTGGTGCTAGAGCTAACCACAATCACTCCATGAGGTCCTCCGCCAGATACACGAGTGACATCTGCTGTCAAGTCCTGCAGGATATCTGTCAGCTACATTCCTCTAAGGTCAGCAGTCTGCATACCCGTGTCTCCATGAAATCAATGTATGAAGTGACCCCCAGTCTGCTACACAGCTCCCATTTGCTTGGGCCTGTGTCTATTCCCAGGACCTGTAAGTCATTCGCCTTGGCGTATTGTACTGCCCTGGCAGTAGGTGAGCGTTCATGGACCCGTTGATTCACGTTTGAGACATCTCACAGATGACCCAGCCCACCTCCAGCTCCAACGATTGCTATCCACTGCCCAGAAGTGAGGCCGGCAGTGCGAATGGCTCTATATGCTGTTGTGCCTGGAATGCCGGCTTAAGTTAGCAAAGGCACACCCGCATGCGATCTTTCACTCATACCAGCACACAGGGTCGGCGCAGCTTCAGCTGCAGAGATATCTTCAGGGATACGCATGAGATACATCGAATTGACAATCGTGTACTCTGCAATATCTCAGTTATGCCTAGGATGCAGGACGTGGATTATCGATGGGGTAGTACCTCCCCAGCATCCCTCCACATCCTTCCCACTCAGCTTCCTCGAGTCGCATAGCTGCTCATTCCCTCCTTGGCACATATCACAGTTTAGACAGACATCAAATACCCACCGGTGGGCGACTCGGTCTCCCATGTGCCATTTTGAAGTATCTACATCCGGCCCAACAGCGACAATATGTCCAACACCCTCATGGCCACAGACGTCTACCTTCCGTTGAAGATAAGGGATAGTCCGTCGCACGAGGTGCAGATCTGTCGCACAGATACCGGTCGCCTGAATTTTCACAACAACCTCTGAGCCACTTGGTGTTGGCATGGGGCGTTCTTCGAGTTCAATGTGTTGGGTATCAATGCAGACAGCCACTTTGCGCGTGGCTGGGACATTGGTAGTCATATTGGACGATGCTATGTCTGCTAAGTTGGCCTCCACCTTTGTTTGACAGAAAATGAATCATAGATAGCCTCTTAATCAAGACCATGCTCGAGCCGAGAAACATTCTTAAGGACTGCAGGGAAGCAGCCATCCGGCTGAGATGGGCCGAGGAGTGCGGGGTCCCCGCAAGTGGTAAATGGATCTCCTGATTCATTGAGGGAGAAGTGATCGACAGTCAACCAGGTTGCAAAGACCGGTTGCAAGTGCAGGTGGCAAGGTAGGTTGCAAGCCAATGCTTGGAAATCCCGGACTGCAATTACATTATGGGAAGCATGTTGTCAGTTTCCTCAACTACATGGCAATATCCGGAACAAATGCTTTGGCTCTAATGTTATGGACTGCGCCTGCCCTTGCCATCCGATGTCCGATAGACCGAGAAGTATGCTTTCTTCAAACTACAAACATCCCTTCAAATTCCAGCTATAAAATAGTACTCCACGTTCTCATTAGTACTAGGCGATCTAAGCTTCCCCCACCCCTTATAGAGCAGCTGTTCTCAATCGTGGCTCTGCAGTGGCCTCTTCCATCTTTTCAGCATCGTGGCTGAACAACCATTCCCGACGCAGCTCGTATCCCCAGAAGATTGGACTAGACGGACTGTCGTGTCGCATAAGCTCATCTCGCTGGCACTGCTCTTCACCGTCATCGACATGCAAGATGTATTGGTGCTCTCGCGTCTTAGATTGGATCAAGGACGCTCTGGGGCTGCGGATACGCTCATAGCGCTTCAAAGCGCTTGTGATATCGGTATCCTCAGCCAGAGCCCTGCAAATCGTGGCAGCATCCTCAGCCGCCTGGGCAGCTCCTTGCGCCAGATACGGTAGCATCGGATGGCAGGAATCTCCCAAGAGGCAAGCCTTACCTGACGGATGAATCCATGTGGAAAGTGCGGGAAGGTCGCATAATCGCCATTTCATGAAGGACTTTGTCAAACGACATAACTTCTGCACACGGGGCTCCCATCCGGAGAATCTCGCGCAAAGCTCCTCATTATCGCCCTCCACAACCCAAATCTCATCTGTCGTCTCTCCTTTCGATGTCGCACACACGACTATGTTGTACAGCTCACCATCTCGTATAGGATAGCCAACGAGGTGGGCATCTGGCCCACACCACGACGTTGTTGCCGGGTGCGTGATGAGACCGGCAAGATCCGGGTCGGCCAGTAGATCCTGACCGTTTATGAGGATCCGATATGCAATATCGCCCGTGTCTCGAGGATGGTCTGGCTGACTTGTTAGAAGCGGTCGAGCAGTAGACTTGATTCCTGTGGTTTCCATCAGCGACCGTTGACCAACATGTAAATGAAGTCTTACCATCTGCACATATTATGAGGTCAGCTGTCCATTTCTCCGAATCTGCTGTGACAGCAATTGGAACGCTGAAGTCATAGTAGGTCACATGTCGATTCTTATGAATGACAACACCGGCTTCGATCGCGACGGCTAGTAAAGTTGCATGCAAATCAGCACGATGGACCAGATAATACGGTGCACCGTGACAAGCGATCATATCCTCAGGATTGATTTCAGTTATTGTCGATCCATCTTGCCAGCGACGAAAATGATATCCTTGGCAGACACATTTTCGCATCTTGTCAAAGTCAACCCCCCATCGGCGTAGAAGGCGAGTGCTGTTGGGTGGGATGCGGATACCGGCACCGGCCTATTCATGGGCGCATTAGCTAACCTTGCTCCAGGAAGAAGTGAGCGATTCCATTCTTGCCTCTTTGAATTCAGCAGATGCATCGAGAAGAGTTATTCGGTGTCCATCTTGGCGCAGAGCCAAGGATGCAAACAGACCACCAAGTCCAGCACCCACGATCAGGATGTTCAAGGGTTCAAATTTCAGACACATTGTAGTGTTAAGAGGGCATTTCACTGATCAATGCTACAGTAGCTATCTGTCGTGGTTTTATGAAAGATCTCATGGGTGAGTTATTGCGACAACCTGCAGCACTGGTTGGTGTCCTGGGCAGAAGCCCTCGGATAGGGGAAGCAGGCATCCGGGTTCGACATGAATACCGAAAAGGAAGACCGCAGCGCTTGCGCCTCGTCACTATGGCCCATCTATCACAATCTAGCACTTTAAGATCCTGTCAGCTGACATTGGCTCAATTAATGACACAGCCGGATCAAGCCATCAAGTCTGTTTTGAAAGGGATCCGTGCTCTCTCCGTCTCGCCTGCTATCAGGGAGGTGCCGCGCCTACCATATGGACACTGGGTCCCGTCTGAAAACGCCTTTTGCTAACCGATCCACCTAGCTTGAGAAGAGAAATGCCATGTCATCTTTGTCGGAAGGCAACACCACAGGTGGTTATGGACTAGCAGATGTATCTCAGCCACGTCGGGTCAGTACATCATACTTAGTAGTATGATCCGGAATTCCCAGCCCATATGGCTCATTTTTATGAGCTGCAGTATAATGAGACACGAGAATATGAACGGCGGATGGAGACAAGAATGGATACGTACACCCACTCAAAGGCCGGGCGATAACCAATCGCTTGTATGCTTTCCTTGCATTTCTATCAATTATCATAGCTAGTGCCAACCCTACGTTGACATACCTGAGCTCTACAAAGAAAAGGGAGGTGACTGAATATGCCCGACTCTCCCTCCCGGCCGCGTGCCCGCCGGCAACGCTTGACTGAGCTTTTCGATACTGGAACTTTCAGGTGCTGTTGCTTACTCTTATCCTCCTGTCACCCTTTCCTGTGCATATTATACATAGTTATAGTGCTAGCAAGGCTGCTTTGGGATTCTCGCTCCTTGGCTGCAGGAAGTGAAACATCTGTGGATACCGACCTCTGAGAACTTTGCGAAGAAAAGAAGGTGATTGAATATGCCTGGCTCTTCCTCTCAGCCGCGTACCCACCGGCAACGCTTGACTAGGCGTTACGGTAGGGAAGCCCGCAGGTGCTTTTTGTTACTATTGTTGACCTGTGAAGCTTTTTTACTCTTCCTAACGATAGGAATGGTGTTGGCAAAGCTGATTTTCGGTCTTAACCCCGTTAGTTGAATCAAGTGCTTCAGGTATGAGTCGATAGTCACTGTGTCGACCACTTTTTTTGGGTATTTCTGTGTCAATCGATGCTATGCTATTCTAATGAGCCCCGAACTGCTCTGAGAAGACTATGCTTGCGGTTCAGCGTGTTTGACTATACAAATGCCTGAAAAGTTTCTTTAAGCCAGCTTGTTAACTTCCAGCGCAGTGGCTACACAGATCGATAGGCTTTCACTCACCGTTATTCCGATTATAGTATAAGCAGAAGGCAGATGTCGCTGCGCTTTCTATTCACTATAAATATAATACAAAGTTTTTCTATTCCATTCACTACTTCTTCTTTTTCTTTGTTTATTTCATTGCCTTTTTATATGAATAATATCTTCAAGTAATTTTGGAATTAGCTCCAGGTGAGGTGTTCTTGTGCGGTACCCTCAAACAGAGAGCTTCTATCTCCTACTCTAAAGATTCAGATTCTGGGCTTCGGGATAGTCGATATGTACCTTCCTATAAGCCACCACGGCACTACTTTCAGCTTTCGAGCCGATAGTCCAACCAACAATGCGGTCGCATCCTGTCTGCATAATTTATGGTATCGCTTCCATGACGCGAGGATTGGTTCCATAAAGTTCGTCTAACGGCAGTGCGATTTGTATGGCAATTGTTTTAGGTCAGATGCCATGTTCGTATCCGGCTTGTGAAACAAGGCAGGACCCCTTGGGTTCATATGTCCGCGCTGGTTATACCGCAGGACTCAATACCCAGGAATAGGACAGTGTAGAGGGTAGCGAATGTGTTATCCAAGGTTTGGAGAAGTTTCAATAACATCTACAACTGCTGGGACGCCAAGCATAGAAGCTTTGAGTGAATGCAAGTCTATCCGAGGTTCCGGGTGCATGCATCCGCCGATCCCCCTCCCTTTGCCGGTCGAGCTGTCTTAGCCTTCAATCGGGCTATCACCCGCCACTTCATATGCTTTCTGCGGATCGATTCTTCCTGGATAGTCTATTGCTCGGGTATGGAAAAACGCTTAGCTAGCCGTCGTGTTCCTGATGAGTTGCGGAAACGTACTTTCGCGAGCTGTGACACCTGCCGGAAGGCAAGTGGCGACCTTATCCTGCCTGGCTGGCTCTTCTCCTGTCAGAATTATGCTAACCACGATGTATTAGCGCCGCTGCAAATGTATTCGTCGCGGAGGCTCGGATCAAGACTGTGTCGCTTGCCAAAGATCTGGCATCCCGTGCGTATCCAGCTATCAGCGAAAGACACGACTGTACGGAAGTGTCGAGACCATCCGCGATCGGTATGCCGCGCTGATCCTCCCTGGATTTACTGTCTGGCTGATTAACACTCTTGTAGGATTCACTGTCTTGAAGCAATCGTTAAGGGGGTGTTTCCGGGTGAGCCCGTTGATAGTATTTCTGCTCTGTTAGAGCTGGGCCGGAAAGCCGGCTATGAAATGCCCAAGCTGGACCTTCCACAACAAAATGAGAATGAGCGGAGAGTTGAGCTACGGAGCTCAGAAAGCGCCTATCAGACCCTGACGTGCGCTAGCAATAGCAACGATCAGCCAGGGTGTATCAGAACCAGCCAGCGCCCACCGCAGCTGGTCAAAGACAGCCGTGGCCATAGTCATTACATCGGGCCGTCAGCATCCCTTGCATTCTTTGCGGATCTTCGCAGCCTTGTATCGGAGCAACAGCCTTCCTCTTGCTTCGCTGCAGATACTCTGACGGAGTCTCTCGAAGCTCGACAAGATTCGAGTCGCTTGTCACCGTCAGCAGTGAGTACAGGCATGACGCCACTTGCACGCGATGAAGAATTATCGTTTGTCAAGGCACAGTTGCAGGAAATGCCCCGGGATTGTCTGCTGGCAATAATACATGCCTTCTTTCACTCTGTAAATTCAGATTTCCCACTACTGGACAGGGGATACTTCTTTAACAAGCTCGAGTCCTACATCTACCCCATCGGCCCCGCTGAGGGATTGGAAGATGGTTGGGTGGCCTGTATCCATGCTGTTCTCGCCTTTGGCTGCTGGATCCTGGATGATGACGCTAGATTCGAAGCCGATGAACTAAGCACGCTAAGGTCTCGCTGCTGGAACCTCGCTCGAGGAGCTTTGGCCGGCTTATTGACCTCGTGTACGGTCTCCAATATCCAAGCCCTGTTGCTTATGGCACTCTTCCTGCACAACAACAATGATCGGAATGCAGCGTGGACCCTAACTGGTAGTGCTGCGAGGATTGCTATTGCTTTGGGATTGCATCGCAGCGATATCGACGAGAGCCTTCGCCTAACAGAACAAGACTCCAGAAGGCGAGTCTGGTCTACGCTATTTACATTTGAGCAATTTCTCTGCTTATGTTTGGGCCGCCCAAGTGTGATCGACAGTCGGGAGGTAACCCTGGGACCGGCTCCCGAAGTCTCTGCTACTGCCCTTCTCGGTCATCCCAGCCATCACCAGGTGGCAACTGACCTTCAACAACAAGTCAGTCGGCTCCGCGATGCGATCGCTTTCTTGCATCGGCCTGCTTCACCTGTATCATCCGCTGATACGCAATGTACTGATCCAATATCACTCTTGAGTAACCTTAAAACCTGGGAAGCTGAGATACCAACTTATCTCATTATACCATCCGATATCTTGGATACGTGCATCACCCCCTCGACGGCAGTGCTGAAAGCGTTCGTCCCCAGATATCCACCAGACCAACTACGGCCAACGGTTCTCCTCCATTTAACCTATAATAATCTCCTTATTCAGCTTACACGGCCATATTTGCTTACTGTAATTTCGATGAGCCGAAGGCAGAACCCGAAGCAGCAGTACCCTTGGACTCTACCGAGAGATAGTTTCCAAAACGTGCAGAAGAGCGCTGAGCACCTGGCGTCTAGCTGCGTCACAGCAGCGATGCGCATTGTTAATCTTCTCGTCCTGCTTGATTATGCCAATGGGGTCAATGGAAAGACTGGCCTGGACCTTTTCTACGGGTACTCGGCTGGAATGGTTCTGCTCCTCCGTCGGCTGTGGGTCATGCCCCCGGATCTTCCGAAGTCTTTGTGGCAGCTTGAAGGTGCAGCTCAGAAAGATGTTCAGTGCATGGTGACAAAGTTGCAGTCCATAATGCAAGTAAACGCGAAATGTCCGACAATGCAGAGGTTCAATGCAGTGCTTCAAAAGTTCGACGAAGCCGTTCTGGCGAACGGGCAACTTCGGGAACGAGGTGAAAATGAAGTCGCACCGTTGGGCTTGGCACAGGGGGGAGGAATTGACCATGTGCCCTCACAGCTTCGCATACCTTGCGTCGATAGTCTTAACAGCGACCTGGATGGTACTGCTTCGGATAGCCCGAGCCTGTGGCAAGAGTCTTTGCAGACGATCACGCAGTATAGTCTCGACTGGAGCAACTTTGAGCAGTTCCTTGGTAGCATCAATGTGGCATAGGCTTCCATGGCTACAACAATAAATTGGCTGAATGTTCTCAAGATGGTAGCCATATGTCATGCTGGCCCCGAAATTGATAACATATTCATTCTGTCAAAACTATGCTCATTTGTTCTCTCAACCCACCAAGAATATCATGTTCCTCAAATCCGCTCAATCCATCCATGATCACTGACTATCCACATAGTCCTGTACGTGACCCAGGCTTCCTAAGTTACTGGTAGTGCTACCTAGGCATCGACACAAAAGTTCAATGTCATGGCCCGGCGGATCCTCTCTCCTTCTTTGATAAAGTCCTCGACATTGTGTCGTGCCTTGGCCCAATGTTCCCTATTAAACTGGCAGCGATGGTTGACATAGTCAATCTTGACTTTGACAGATCCTTCGTCATCCTCTTCACCCTCTTCGTAGACCCGGAACATGGTTGACTTGACAACTATGACATTCCATTAGTATGTGTGTCACCGAAAGGATACAAATATCTGCCTACCTGGATCGTCCCTGCCATCGGCACACACTTCCACATTGGTGAAATGGTACTGCTGCATGTCGTCTCGCTTGCGTGCAGCAATGATGCGGTTGATGATGCGCAAGACGACACCAAACTGCGACGGCGGGTTTTCCTTGGATTCCAATCGCCCGCGCAGCTCTTGTTCGACCTTCTTGTTCATGTGCCTCTCGTCGGTCTTCAGCTCAACGGTAAATTCCTTCTTGTCGGCTTCCACCAGCCTTCATGGCGGAACGTTAGTGGACCGAGTTCAGGGGCATTGGCTCTGAATATAGTAACTCACCATGATTCGTGTTCCTTGCGCAGATACTGTATCACCTTGCTGCGATAGTCGGTACGTCTGACGCGCGATTCGTTGTAATCGTCGGTCGGCAGATTCCCCTTCTGCATCAGCTCGTTGACCTGGGATTCGGCGCGCCCAAGTTCAAAGGCGTTCCAAGTCTCCAGGTCATGTCTCAATTCTTGCACTTCCTTCCGGTGCTTGTCTGAGACCGGCTTATTGTAGTAGATGAAGAGGAGACTGGGGGTGCCATAGTCACCACTCACATCCACTCCCTCTGGAGCACCAACAAACTTGTGGCCATTATCACCAGATAGGGGGGACGCCTCCATTCTTGCAAGACAGTCCGTGGACAAGAATGTTGCTGTGGATATTATCAGGTAGGATTTGCTTTGATCCGGGAGAGATGCTGAGGCTGTCGATGAACTGAATACTGGCAAGGCTATTCAGTGAGTGATCTTTGGACTCTTTATATCTTAGTGAGTCCGACAACAGTCCCCCTTATTCAGCAGTGACAGGACCATATGGTAAGCCTGTGTCAATAATAAAGCGCTCGTGTTGCCACAACTTACTTAGACTTCTGATAACAGCACTTGCTACCACATCCGAGGTGATGCAGATGCGTAAGACTCCGCTGCATCCGACATCAGATTATGCTCTCCATGCACCCAACGTAAACCACCATTCTTTTCATCCGATATTTCATGTGCATCGCCTGGCTGAGCTTGGGGCATCTCACTGCATCTTGGAGAATTTGCAAGATAACTCCTAAATGCATACACATCTTGTATTCACACGAGCTTGGGCTTTTTTCCGGCTTAATGAGGGGTAATCCAGGGATTGATCAACTTACCTTTGCATTGACCAGTTTGACTGGAGTCCCAGCAAATACACAGGGTTCTGTTAAGCTAGGTTAGCCTACTACTTATGACTATGGTCTACATACGGTCTATAATAGGATCCAAATTCATCAATGCAAGATATTTACTAACATCCATCCACCCTAATATGCGCATGTAGTACTGCAGCTTTGACTAGAGTACACTACACTGAAGCTTGTGCGACAAAGACTGTGATTGCGGATGTTGCAGAGGCCTGGCATGGTGTATAGGCATGGTGTATAGGCAAGGCCGACAGCGCACGTCAGGCAACGACACCGTTAACGACCAACAAGTGCGGGGCTATTGCACAGCCAGTCTTCTTGTACGAAGGTTAACAACGTTAAAAGCTTAAGCGGTACGATCTGATCGAAAGCGACAGGGAAAGCTTGGTGGAAACATCGTAGGGCGACTAGAAGCAGCTAATCTGTTACGTGGAACGGAGGCCCATGCTCACAATGGCTACTTATAATGGTTGCATCTGATGCACGAAGTATAAGCGACTGCAACATGACGGCTTCTTACTACCTCAACCGCACCACATCTTCGCTACAGCCTAATCGGGCAATCTCAAATCTGTCAGCGTTGTTTCCCAATTTGCATCAGATAGCCCGTCAGCGAACAGCCAATACCCAGCTACAAACATACTCATGTACTCTTTGAGATGCTTGTGGAAGCGCCCTTCTTGAGTGAGAGCTGAATGTACATTGCACCCTCTCCAGTGCATGATTCAAGATGACGCTGTTGTGAAACTCTTGCCTTAGGGGTGATATTAGTATGTTTAAGGATAGTGATACTTCCTACTTGAAGGTGACTGTCCGCAGCGCCACTGGCTTGAATGAACTAAATATCGTCAGTAACCTACCTGCACTGCCCATGAGTCACGACTCCTCGGTCCAGTGCATGAATACGTCATTCCTTCATAGCAAAATTCGAGGGTGTAGTCCTCCAACGAGCAGCAAATTGCGAAACAGCCAGCCTCTTACCAAATCACCAAAGCTGCTATCCATGGCCTCCTTGCATCGGCTCACTGTATGAGTCAGGCGCACGTCACGACGGGGAAAGTTCTATAACTGGGGATATTTGCCACTGGTGCACGGTAGACACTGTCAAAACGAATATAGTCACCGATGGAAAGGTGGGTCCACGGACAAGATCGTGCGTGAGGCTGCAAAGTGCTCGCTCGCTATGAGTCAGGGCAAGAAGGGAAGCGCCGCCGATTCCGGGGATCCGCCAGATGGGAGCACGTGGCATGGATGGGGGAAAATGGGATCCAGGCCCATTGGGATCATGGCTAGTTTGGCTGGAGCTGTCACGGGTCGGCAAACCGGGCTGTAGACGAACGAGTCAGATCGGCTTCGCGGGCTTCTTCAGAAACTTCGATTTCTCCAGGTTCGACAAATTCAACGGGAGGCAAGCCGGAGTGCTGCCAGGGAGCCCCGAAGTATCGGCAGGCGCCATGCCTCAGAACCCAGAACCTTAACCTGATTGGGCAAGGCCTCCGTCTGGCCACCAGCCCTAACCAAGAACGCCGCGGGAGAAGGCGGAAAAGTGGAAAACCTTGAGATGGGGAACCTGGAATCCGCCACCGCGTCGCTGCATAAGGTTTAGTGGCTACGATTCTCCCTCCGGCGGCCGGATTGCAAAGGAAAAGAGGGGACGCAAGTTGCATTTCCGGGGCTGAGCTTAATTTGATCCTCATGCTTCCCCCAGGTCCGGTGCCGGACCAGCATGCTCCTGCTGCATCTTGTGCAATCGAGGTCTAAAAACAGTGCAGGATGTTCGTCGATCATCTTTAGATAGTCCCTGGACGTTTTTTTAGCTCGAATAGAGTCTTTTTGTGCCTGAACGATGCATGGTGCGACCGGTGGAGCCGCGAGGCCCAGCAGGAGCCCGATGTCGGAGCAGGATTCTGCGGGCGGCAAAGTTTGTGTCACACCAGCAGAGATTGCATTGAGGCGCCCTCTGATTTGCCAATGCGACCCTTCTATTAACTAAGAAAAACCTCCTCGCCATGCGTCAATGCTTTTCAGGCCGTGGCCATATATGGTTGACGCCCGCGTCGTGCGGGCGTGCCTGGGTTTAGTTCCGCTACTCCTTTACTTGTCGTTGTTGCTGCTGCTGCTGCTGCCGCTGAGATTTGAGATTTGAGACGGGTGCTTGTTCAACACTATTTTCCATCCATCTCATTCTACTCGTGGAGTCAGCCTGCCAACCGTCCCTAAAGAGCAACCATGTCGACCTTGGACGTGAAGGATATTGAGAATGGACCGGCTCGCCGGGTCGAGGAAGAGGGGGGCATGTGGGAGAATGATATGGAGAAGACGCCATCCGTGGAGAGGGATCCTTTTGGAAATGAAGCTGTGGGAGAGGTTCACTATAAGACTCTCGACTGGTGGTATGTTTGAGCCCCGTGAACTATACCCGACCGTTGATACTAGGCGGCATATACTTGATGGCAGAGACTAACCAACTATTCTTTCTCTTTATAGGCAATCTGGCATGCGTATGCTCTCCCCCACTTTGATATCAATATTGTCTCTTTGTGCATGTAACCTAACATCCTTTCTCTCCAGTGATGATCGCCGAGACTGTATCCCTGGGTGTTCTGTCTCTGCCCGCCACCGTGGCTGAGGTTGGCCTGATTCCGTAAGTAGCATACGATCGCGTGCCTTCAACGTCGCCCGCCCAGTCTGTCGCTAACCAGTAATGCAATCAGTGCCATCATCCTTATCGTGGGCATGGGCATCATTGCCACCTACTCCGGCTACGTCATTGGACAGTTCCGGGCCAGATACCCCTTCATCCACAGCATGGCGGATGCCGGCGAGGTCTTGTGCGGCCGCTACGGTCGCATGTTCACGGAATTTGCTCAGCTGGTGTTCTTCATGTTTGCATCTGGCAGNCACTTGGTGACCTTCACCGTTATGATGAACACCCTTACCAACCACGGAACCTGCTCTGTCGTGTTTGGCGTCGTCGGCTTGGTGCTTTCCTTCGCCTGCTCTCTTCCTCGTACCATGAAGAACGTCTCATGGCTGGCTGTCACTTGTCAGTATCTCATTGGGTTCATCCCCAGTCTCCTTATATTGTGCTAACACTTTCACACAGCCTTCCTCAGTATTTTCACGGCCGTCTTGATCACCATGATTGGTGTCGCCGTTGAACATCCGAACCCTCCGCCCATGCAGCTTACCCGCTCAACTTCTTTCGTCAAGGGTTTCTCGGCTGTCACTAACATCGCTTTCGCCTACTGTTCGTCTCCCTTTCCTATGTCCACTGTCATCCGGTCGCATCTGAGTAACTAACCCCTTCTCCAGGTGGTCACCCGGCTTTCTTTGGTTTCATCGCCGAAATGAAGGAGCCCAAGGACTTCCCCAAGTCCCTCTGTATGTTGCAGGGTTTCGAGATCGTCTTCTATACGGTCGCCTCCGCCGTCATCTACCGCTACGCCGGTCAGAACGTCACCTCCCCCGCCCTGGGCTCTGCCGGTATCGTCGTTCGCAAGGTCGCCTACGGCATTGCCATCCCCACCATCGTCATCGCGGGTGTCGTCCTGGGACACGTGGCCATCAAGAACGTCTATGTCCGTCTCTTCCGCGGCACGGATGTCATGCACAAGCGCAGTGCCCTGGGTATCGGTGCCTGGATTGGGCTCGCTGCGGGCTACTGGATTATTGCCTGGGTGATTGCCGAGGCCATTCCTGTCTTTAGCGATCTCGTCAGCTTGGTCAGCGCATTGTTTGCCAGTTGGTTTTCATGTGAGTCTCCCATACAGTTTGAATCCTCCTACTTCATCATTGAACTCGGTCACTAATAATTTTTCAGTCGGTCTGCCCGGTGTCTTCTGGCTGTACATGTACTGGGGCAACTACTTCACCTCGGTTCGCAAAACGCTCCTTACTCTTGCCAACCTGGCGTTGTTCGGCATTGGCGCTACCATCTGTGTCTGTGGTCTGTGGGTCTCTGGCCTCTCGATCTCTAGTGACAGCTCTGGCAGCAGCTTTTCGTGCGCCAATAATGCCTAATTTGGGTCATGAGCTACTGCTTCCTCATGACCGGGTTGTATATATGTATAGATTTGTATTATAGATAGACTCTTATTTAATATACCCCTTTGCGTTCGTTGTTCACCACCGGATTCGTACATATATATGCGCCAAACCAACATATTAAAGCTATTGCCTAGTACTTTTTCCTGGTCTTGACTAATTTTTTCTCAAGGTTGATATCAACAGGATTCTGTTGGTTTCTTTCCTCCAGGCCGTGCTTTCAGTGGATCAAAGCCAGTATCAATTGCTTAATTGAGCAAACTACCGAGGAATTTGTCCCTATCCTAGGACAAGTACTTACGAGTCATGTGGATTTATTTCAATTGATTCGCAAGCAGTGAGTAACACCGGTAAAGTAGTAGTATCATGCTACAATAAGACCACGAAGTAACTGGTACTACGAGTGCTAGTGCTGCCGTTTGTTAGATAGTATGGAAATATATATCCGCAACCGGGACCGTTTGAGCGTGGCATAATAAACACACCTCAAGAAAACAAATAAATTCAGCAGCCAGCAGTTTCTAAGATAACTGGTAAGCTAAACACTGGATGAAGTAGACATCCTCGAATAAAACTCACATTACTAGTGCATGCTCTTGCATCTCCGCATCTCCGCTTTCACATGACGGGAGCACAATCATCATCCGAGGACATACCCGCCCGTGCCGTAAGGACACTTGGCCGTCAAGGTATCTTTTTAGTCTCTCTGGTGGTGTTGGATCACGAATTTCTATTTGGCGAAAGTGGCTTCCCCCGGTAGCCAGGATGATACCACTTCAGGGTCCAATGGAGGACTTACCCTGCGAATGCTACGTTACATCACCTTTGCGCCACAGTTGCCTTGTATGCTGCGAGCGGAAGGTGGGGCGACACGGCATTCCCGTTCACAAAATCATCCACTTTGTCATATGCACAGCACAACGCGGACGGCTAACCTCTTTTAGAAAGCGTGTCGCGCGATAACAATTCATGCCAGATATTTAGATTCGGTCTACCAGGAGTTTCACCATCTACAGTCGACCCGAGCCTCAGATCAATGCTGGTCTAATACTTTGAACAGATGATATACTGTCAAGACGAAGGGTCAAAGACATAGGGATTTGATCTATCTGATCTCAAGAGAGTGGTTGGTTGTGCGTTGGAAGAGGTGGGTGGTCAGAGACCACGCAGGAAGACAGGCAAAGGATAAGCTGACAGCTGCCCGGCTGTAGTGAATGTCTCAACATATACCAATATCGACAAGTCCTGACGGAAGCACACCTTAACCTGGATTCAGTTTACTTCACGGATATCACCGACATCGCCATTAGACAAGATAACTGGAGTAGTAGCTCGTGAACCGCACCGTCAATGGTGCTACCCACCAAGAGAGCATCGTGGTCCGACGTATATTTGCCAGCGAGCATTAAAACTTGTTGATCGCCGACTTGGGGACAGGGGCACGTTGGAGAAGCTGCCTCGGTAATGGTCGCGGTAGGTGGTCAGACCTCGCGACTGGCGATAGACAATCGATTAGGAGACGGGACATTGGAAACTGCCATGACATTGTTGGAGCCGCCGGCCAGGATGGTGCGGGCTTGTTGCTTAAGTGGCCACCGAGGTAGCGGGCCGTGCAGTTGTTGAAGACGATCTTGTCATCGATGAAAGGCAGGAAGTTCAGGCGGGCACCGCCAGAGCCAAGGTAGGAGGTGAAGGTAGCCACAGCAACCTTTTGTAGGCAGGTGATTGCAAGGCACGAATGTGATGGCTGATAAATGCCACTCCCTCCATCTTCGTTGGACTAATGGTAGTGGCGCCTTGTTAGCGCTGAGACCAGCAGAAGATTCAAACTTTCGTGGCCAATCTTGAGGTTGTCTTGATCTAGTAATAGAATTGCCCATGAACATACTATTTGGGATCGTTGTATGTTTGTTCATGTGCTTGGCGGCAATGATTTTGGTGGACAACCTCCATTGCTCATTGTAAAGCCGATGCTGCAGATAATTAAGTGGTTCAGGTCGGGGCGGGATTCAGAGAATAAGTAGTTGGAGTTATGTGTTGTCTAAGTTGGGTTTCTCACCAGAAAGAGCTAGGGTAAATCTTCAGAACATCAGTGGAGGAGTGTCTAGGATCTGTTGCAATCCCTAATAAAGTATCATTCCGTGCCGCCATCGGAGCCCCGAAGCTGCCGGATTATACAGGAGATGACACATTTATAGGCACCATTCAGAGCAGACTGGGTCTACGGTCTTACTAGTGCCCTGGATTTTGGTGGTGTATAACGTATGGAGTTTCTCGCCACTGTGAGGTCTTCTTTGACACTAATCTCCACGACTTGTGAATCTCATTCCTTCACATACCGATCGAACCACGCCACAGCCTGCTCAAATGCCGCTTCTTTGGCGAACTTCTGCTGGGGCTCTGCCAAGTTGCAGCGGACCGCAAACCCGTGCTCAACATCAGAGAACAAATTAATTTGAAAAGGAACACCAAGTCTGGCTAGGATCGCCTCACTCTCGTGGCGGTTGGCAGTGGTGAAGACGGGATCAACAACTTATGTAACTGTTAGTATAACCGATATGTGGGAGAGGGAAGAGATAGTTCTCCTCCACTCACTAGCAGCTGCAATACTCAACGGCCCTTCAACCCCTTCCAGCTCCCCCACCTGCACCATGGTTGGATGGGCCATGAACCCTGCATTAAGTTTGCCTGCTTTGAGGTAGCGGCACACATATTTGCCACCAAAACAATATCCGACAGCGCCAACTCGCTGGCAGCCGAGGGTACTGCGCATCTGCCCCAGCATAGCATCGACAATGGGATCGACCCTAGGTGGCAGATGTTGGTTGTACCAGCCCATAATATCGAAGTCAGGCCCATAATCGATTGGTATGGGGTCTCCGTGGAATAGATCAGGCATGACCACGAGGTAGCCGCGGGCGGCAAACTGATCCGCCATCAAATGGGCGTTGATGAACCGGTGGCCATTGCCGTCGGTGAAAAACAAGATGGCATTCTTTGTCGACCGATCGGTTGGATAGACGATGTACGTCGAAACTATCAAGTCAGTGGTGCTTGGGAATGTAGGGCACCAAAGGCTCACTGTCGGCAATTTGTCGGACCTCCCCTCTGGCCCTGCCCTCGTGCAGGTGTCCCACCATGCAGCACTGAGATGGTGCATTGGAAACCATTGCTAGAGATCAGATCAAATCAGTCAAGAGTGAGAGCAGAGCTTCTGGCACAAACCTCAAGGGAAAGACGAAACAAGCCCTCCTACATTGTGAGGACCAAGGTGCCGCTTACAGCATGATAAGACCCAGGTGCAGAGTCGACTTCCTGCCAGGCACCAGTTGACTGTCGTCACTTACAGTAGTCGGGCGGGTCGTCATAGGCTAGTCAGGAAACCCCACCGAAAGCCGGTCTGCTCGAGCATCTTCAACGCCTTTCCTGGTCGATAGAGGTGAAGTTATGATGTTGGGCCCTGATGGAAAGGTCTCTGATATCCGGCAATACAGTTTGTGGGTAGGACTGTGTCCTGGACTATGTGTGCCGTGACTGCTAACTATGTACTGTCTTCTTCTCGCTCCCGTCCCTTTCACCGCAAGGACATCCGAGCACTCCAACGGCTATTTTTTGTCCCTGATCCGCTGAAGATCATCGATTAGACGTCCACGGTTGTGGTAGGCGAATTTAATTATAGGAAATTCGATCCCAGTTTATGTATGATTTATATGGATGCAGGCAACAGTTTTTGAGCATCACCAACCTGCTAGTAAGCTGCGCAAGGTGGCTCGTTAGAGACGCGACGGGTGATCGGTGGTCCATATCTTGAGTCGCTCACCCTTTACGTGAAAGATATTTTGTTCTCTTTGCCAATGACTTTCTTAGGTCCATACCGATTTGCTTTGTTTATTCCTGCATATTCTGGTTTTGGACTTAGGCCCCGGTTCGGCTTTGTTTACAAACCTACTTGCAAATGAGCCCCATTGTTGGTTGGTCCGCCATTGTGCCGTTTCTCTCTCTTTCAGCGGCTGAATAAGCCTCCCGCGGATGGTCACACGGCATACCCAAATAAGCACTACCAGCGTTTGGGTCGCGACCGCAGTCGTGTAACCTTTGCAGAATCTCGTCCTACGGGTTGTCACCTAAGTATATATGCTGTGGCTGACCGATTATGATATGACAAATGGAGGGAAATTATTCCCCAAAGGGCCTCAGTTTATTTTAGGCCCAGGTGAGTGTAGCTCCCCTTCTTGGGAGTTAATGGCCGGCAGGACGAGCTGCCGCGCGCCCGCTGATGATCCGGAAGTCGACACCGTCGATCATACCGCATAGCCCGCTTCCGCTGCTCTTTACACCGTGGCGCATCCCGCAGCTTCGATTGTGGGTGATTACGGAGATGCCTTGACCAGATTAGCAGAGGAATTAAGTTGGGGTGGCCTTCTCATTGGATTTCGGTCTCTTTCGCTCTCCCGCCGCCTAGAACCACCGCAAAATGGCATTTCAATCAATCAATCATCTACGCCAATTCTGGCTTCGGGCCTGAACAACCCGGCCACCGCGCGAGCGAGACCTGCCGGCTCTGTCCTAAAGTACGTACTGGAGGTGCCTCATCTCTCGAGGGCAAGTCGGGCCCAATGACTGGCCTGGACACTTCGACTGCGCAAGCCAGTGGGCTTAAGACGTCCTTCCATTGGGTTGGCGGCCAGCTAGCAAAGCGTTTCTCCCCGCACTAGCGCATAGTCCAGAGACATCATTCGTCTGGGAGGGAGGCACACCCTTGTCACAGACGCACCTGCAATGGGGCTTAGTGTGATAACACCGACTCCCCTAATCTTTAGCGCCAGCGCTTGGTCATTGCTGATGCGATTCGCGGTACTTAATCACGCCCGCATACCTGGCGTGGTCCGGGTTTGGGGGTTAAAGGGAGCTGCGACCGTTGTCATTCTCACATCCTTCCTTCGTCCGCTTCTCCCAGCTATAAAATCGGCCGTTGATCATCAAAAATGAGCGCCTCCGAAACCGAGCCCCTCATCAAGGAAAATGCACCATTGGTGTCCTACTACAATTCGCTTGAATCCCGAATTGGCTACCGAGCATTCCTAGGCGGTACACGTCACTTCGGTTATTATGAACCCGGCTGCTGGTGGCCGTTCCCCATAACCGCAGCTCTCCGAAAGATGGAGGATCACCTCGCCCGATCCTTGAATCTGCCGCCCGGTGCGACAGTACTTGATGCCGGCTGCGGCTATGCACATGTGGCGATCCATATGGCGCGGAAGCATGGTCTGAGGGTAACAGGAATTGATGTGATTGACCGTCATGTTACCCGAGGAAAAGAAAATGTCCGCGCGGCTGGACTAAGTAATTCAGTCAGCCTTCAAAAAGGCGACTATCATCATCTCGAGAATTTCGCGGATCGTACATTTGATGGCTTGTACACGATGGAGACCTTTGTACACGCTACCGATCCGAAAGCTGCGTTGCAAGAATTCTGTCGCGTCCTCGCACCCGGTGGATCTATCGCCCTGTACGAATACGACCATATCAATATCGCTGGAGATAATATAACCGAGGACATGCGGAGGCAGTTTGCGCAAATTAATAAGTACGCGGCGATGCCAGCCAATATTTCCTTCGAGCAAGGGACGCTCCAGTCGTTACTCGAAGACGCTGGCTTCATTGAAATCCAGTCCACGGACCTCACGGAAAATGTAAAGCCAATGCTCCGACTATTCTTTATCGTCGCCTACATCCCGTTCCTTCTCATATCCTTCTTCGGCCTGGAGAAGTACTTCATAAATGCGGTCGCGGCTGTCATGGGCTACCGGTACCTTTATATGCATCGGTATATATGTGTTACTGCAAGGAAGCCTGGGGATAGACAAGGGCTAGATGGCGAGGTGAAGAAGGCTATATAATCCTGGATCTGTTACCGATATGCTCCCCTTGAATCTACATGTACGTACGAACGACGACCACCTTTGATCTTGTGTTTGATATGTCTATGAAGGTGTATTTACCAGTATATATACAAAAGCACATGTGATATACTTTATCATTCCTCAGTAGTCCGTGGCTGCGGATAGTAAAGTCCAGTGTCCCAAGAAAGGAGTATGCATTGGAAGGGGTAGTAGATTATATGGTAATCGAGTTGAAGAACACCAGTTTTCGCACAGTTCGCACAGCAAGAATAGAACAATCGAATAGAAGAGAAACATGAATCCCAAACGCGGGTGGACTGCGTTTAGAAATGAGGGAAGATGTTTGTCCAATCCACTGTAGCGTAAGCGCTCGCTGGTAGCGATCGAAGTTCAATAAAATCCTCGAGGAAGATATACGCTCTAGCATGGCAGTATACCACTCCCAGTACGTAGATCGGCAGTATAGCTTTCAGGGGCACAGTTAGCTCAGGATCTCGTTCACGGGAGTTATTGCGGATGCGGTTTGCAATTCGGCTCGCTCGACTCTTAACCGACAACCAGAATGATGAATGAGCAGAAGTTGGGACCATAATCGCGCCAGATTCCATCGTACTTGAGCTCTTGTGTGACGATGCAATGGATGGCCAGAATGAGAAAGCAAATGACCCGACCGCCCAAAAAAGAGGAACACAGCAGAACACTGCTACTGTCGAGACCCTCCACAAGGTTTGTTCTGCCGGGGTGGGGAAGCTGTAATTCCACCCACAAATAAAGATTGCGGAGTAGATCGCAGAGAGGAGAAGGAACATAGCGTAGCCGAGCTTCGAGGGTTCCGGCACAACAGTGTTCTGGAAGCGGTTGACAGGACGTCCGGAGAGAAAGATCACGATCCGCATCTTCCGAAGAATATTCGTCCAGTTAGACCAGTATAGCGACCAGGCCCATTCCTTCCGTGTAATAAAATCCAATGGCGTGCGACTAAACGGCCTCCCGGGATGTCCTTCTGCCTCAAGCAAGATTTGCTCTATGGTTACATCCGTTTCGATGACCTCGGACACTTGGATATCCGCTGGTTTGTGGTACCAACAGATTGTGGTCGCAAAACTGCAGACGATAAAGCCAGCCGTCGTAAGCTCGAATGTAGTTATGGCCAGGTCTTGTGCTGCGCGTTCAGCAGTAGTAATTATAAACCACAACGTTTGCCATACAGTGATTATCCGGAGCATGCCATCCACCTTGTTTCGGTCCCTAATGATACTCACGTCGAGACTCGGGGGACTGATGTATCCTTTTGTAACCAAGTAATGCAGTTGGCCTGCGTTGATTGGGAACTGACACCAGTCCCTCGGTTTGAGCACATAACCCCCCATATCAGCGTAGAAAGCATGTGTCATTGTCCAGCCCTTGATTCCTGAAGCCTCAAAATCCTTGACTGATTTACAGGCTGATTCCCATTGAGAAAGTGCAATCTGAAAGATGAACTCGGGTCCAAGTAGAGCCAACGCGCTCAGGTAGAGCTTACGCCGAAAAATTTTGAAGCTGGAATCTCCTGGCGCCGGAACATTGATACACAATGTTGACCATGAACATAAGAACATAGTGAAACAACAAGCCCAAATTATATCGAGTGTCCCTCGACCAGATGGCTGACTTGTCCATCCTTGTCGATGTAGCCCTGATGAAGCTGTCTCGTTCGCCGCCTTTACCGAGGTAGCATTTTGACCGGAAGTATCGATGGAAGGAGCAACAAGTGAGCCTTGTGAATAGGGTATCCATGAAGATAGAAAAAGAACAAAGCTGAATGTGTATATCATCATTGGAAATTCACGAACGATCAGGGCAGCAATGGTAAGCAAAGAAAAGTCTTTTGTATAAATATGATATCAGCCTTGGAGGGCGGCGACTTATTTTAATCCTGGACGCATCCATAGGCGCCCTGATTGTGACCGATACACCATGGAATCGATCGACTACGTACACCCCTGGCAATACTTACTGAATGATCTACTAGTAAGCTGGGCGAAAACAGGTCAATAGAACTATAGGACCGACTTAGATAGACTGGAGACGGTAAAGAGTTCGCCGACGACTGGTGGCTTTGAAGACGAAGGCAAAATGGTGTGCTGCCGGGAAAGCCAGCCCACCAAGCCCAGATGAAGATGTGCTCTTTGGTACGCCTCAAGTAACGGCAAACTGCCTGAGTGTTCCGGATAATCACACGTCCAACCGCTGAGGCCCACGTAAATGGTGGTGGTCACATTGCAGCATAGTTTCAACTAAATCTCTAGCGTGACATCGATTAGGTATAGTGTTAAGCATAGCGTTGAACGATTGAGGAATCAGGGCGCGTAATTAGCACAGCTATCATTATTAGTTTCTCTGGAGACGGGAGCAGTGCTATGTATCAGAGGTAATGATAAGGAGATATATGCTAGGTCTCTTTGTGACGCACTGAAGGGCATATTAAGATCCCATCTATATGACCCAAGTGGGGGTGATGTTTATTCATTTCCTGTGATGATACATTGGAGTTCAGTAAGTTTTGAAGCTATGGTACTTTCACCTACGCCTACCGGTTTGCAAAGAACGTGTACGTTTGGATGGGAGGACGCCAACTGTATGTGCCAGGGAAAGATACGATCAAAGCATGGGTTGAGGTCAGCGTGTCACATTGCTAGGATGAGAGCCATCGGGTTTACCCGACCACAGAAGGATCTTATATAAAGCTGATAGTATACAAGGGACTTTGATTGGCCAGTAATAACGGCATTATACTGTTGGTGTGCTTTTAGGCGCTTAGTAGCAACTCTGATGCTGCCACCCCTGGAGCATGAGTAACAGGCGGCACCAGCAGTACGCCCGCCCCTGTAGTTCCCGGAAAGGCCAGGATATCGCGATACAGTAGAAATGCTAGAACTCGTGGTTTCTCTGCCCTTCGTGTTTGGTACGATAGAGGGGCCCATTAGAGAACAGGCTTCGTGGGCCGCCATCCTAGGCGGGCTGGTAGGCAGAAAGCGGCCCGTCTCGGAGCAGTGTTTGCATTAGTGTGGCCGATCCTGTGTGCTACCCCGCGCACTACGCGTGATATTCCGTCTTTTACTGGCTGCCTCTGGAAGTCGGTCGACCGGATGGCATGGCGTGACTTTGGTCTCAAAAGGTCTGTGTCTCACACAAGCCTCTGCGGGCGGCCCGAACCTCACCTGTAACCCGCGAAACGTCAATTGAGCCTACTTGCATGCCCGTCCAGTTGTTAGGCGCTGACACTAGATTTAGAAAGATCGAACCATCTATACTCAATGTTTTAGCCTTCCTAAACGTGGCAAGGCGAGACAGCCTTTCCAAAGGACCCTGGTGATCAGACGGACTAAATGTCAAACTAACAACACAATTACGAAGTATTAGGAAGGCAGGCTGGAACAGACATGGGAGCTTTCCACGCTAATGTGAAGTTCTGGATGGCTAATCAGGATGCCAAGTGTCCCAGTCCAAGTATCGCACAGCCTACCCCCCGCCTAGACCTGTACGTAAAGCTTGCACAACGGCCGATCTATTTAGGTACTCATGTCTTCATATGTAAGAACACACAGTAGAATTCTATATACCACAAATCTTCGAATTCACAAGGCCACCCAAAGATCTCATAGCAACAGTCACCTCCCCACATGCGGAATAAACGCCAAACAAAGCATTGCAGTCGTTGAATTTCACCAATCCATCTAACCAATATCAGACTTCCAGTCGGTGAACGAGGAGTTTCAGGACCCAGTTCGGGCAGCCCGATTTTTTTTCCATCCCATCGATCTGATGCCGGATTTCGCTCATCAGGCTCCGAAGTGTTCTTTCTGTGTATGTCATGCTTCCGCTCTCGTGGAGCCAGCCCAATACGCGCTGCTTCTGTGCGATCCCAAGTCCGGCCGACCGGCGGCCTTGTTTGAGGATGTTTCGAATGTCCGAGGTCTCAGGCAAGAACTTATGAGCATGAATCAGCGGAAATGAGAACTTCCCCTCATCTAGATCCTCGCAAAAGCCCTTTTGTCCGGTATACTGCGATTTTGGGTCAGCTTGCATGTGTAGTCGTTCTGTGTGGGTAAACTGACCTCTTCGGCAAGGTTCTTGTAATCATCTCGGATCTGAAAGTATTCTCCCATAAGGTCGACAAGAGGTTCCAACGGGAGGCATCTATTGTGTTGGGAAAGTTAGTAAACTCTTTCCATCAAAGCGTTCGCGCTTCTTACCGGTTCTTCTTTGATGTTGCCTTTTGCATCATTAATCGAGCCAATAGCCGGAAGAGACCACCGGTTTCTGCTATTTAGTCAGCACAAAATCTGTGATAGAAAAGTCTGAGAGGGAGAAAAGTGAGTACTACTTTGGCGGATCATCTCGAGATATTCTTCCTCTGAAGGACACTCGTCCTGTCGTGTCCAGTACAGATCAAAGCTCTGACCGATGAACAGATTACGCGTCTCTTCCACGAAGATGTCGAGACAGCGCGAGTCCTCTAACAACCTCACTTGGTCCATCGCCTGAATGAGGACAAAGTTAGCGGAGTTGATGGTGAGCGCCTGTCCGAAGACGGTGTGTGTCGCGGGCTGGCCCCGACGCAGAGGGGAACCATCTTCGATGTCATCCAGCCTACACAAGATGGCAGGGTCGTTAGTAGAGTGGAATTCACGGCACGAATTTGATTCGAGCACTCACATCAAAGAGGCATTATGCAATGTCTTTGCAATGGATTTCATGACGCTTACGAAACGATCCGGGAGAGCAAGCCACACATTCAGCGCGTCGATGAAAGCCTCGCGAACTCCTTTGGAGGGGAGTGAGGCGATATACTCTGCTGGAGCAAGGAGATGCTGCGTAGGCTGTCAGGAACCTTTGATTGATAACATGTTATATTCGACAACGCGCTTACCTCCGTTCCAAGCGTAACACGGTCGCGCTCCTTTTCCCTATCGTCGAGAGAAGGTGCCGAGGACACTGATGAGCGTGCAGAACGATCGCTTGTTCCAGACCAGACGGAGGACTCGGACGAGAGACTAACTTCTGAGACACTCCGTCTTTTACCTACGTTAGGCAAGTCGCGAGCCTCCTCCATCGACGTTTGCAAGAGGGCACTGCCCTCCTCACACAACCAGGGGTGGTACCGAGGACATCGCAGACTCCAGGTGACATTTCCGGGAATCTGGTATCCCAATGCAGTGAGGTACAATTGGATCTTACTATTGGACTTCCCTTCGCCGGCAATATATTCCTGTACTCGTTGCTGGTACTCTCTTTCGTAGTCATTTGTGACTTGCCGAACGAGCCTTTTCGCTTCCTCTTTGCCAACCTGGTGCCATTGCATGAATAGCCAGACGGCATTTGTCATGGCGGTCTGGCTTGATTCTGAACTTTGAAACTCTTCCCACTCGATATCAGAAGAGAAGTAGTCGTTGGCAAGTCCGAGGGCAGCATAGCACGGCTTGACAATAGGAGCGACAAGCTCCTCTTCCTCGGGCGTGAGGAGGATGTCCATTCCGAAACGCATCAATGTGTCCACAAATCTATAATGTCTGTTAGGTATCCATGGAAAAGCCAGAAACGACATGATAATCCCTTACGGTGCTCCAGTGTCAACGATACGGTAGTCGACATATTCTTCCAGGTTACTGCATGCGCGCGTCTTGTCCTGCTTTGCGGTTGTGTTGATCATTGTCTTCCAGGAGTCAATGACAACCTCAGCACATGCAGGGTCGATTGACAGGAGGTCGAGTAACATTTTTGACTGGATCTGTTTGGTCCCAGTGACCGACCGCACGGTTCGGTATTCCGTCTCATCGAGGGCAATGTCGTCTGTGTTGTTGTTCACCTGGCATTAGTTAGACATGAATAACTTTCTGAAGACAAACTTCGCTATCGGGCATACTGTGGATTTGGCGGATGATTCAACCACGTTATCGTACATGAATGCATCTATCTCATGTGAGCCTTGGCAAAAGAGGGTTGCCCCAGTGAGTTAGTGAAATCTCACATTCGAAACAGTAGCTGATGATGGCAATACGATCGGGCCGGCAAAAGGGCAAGACGACCGCGGAGAAGTGACCCTCCCACGGATTACAGCATCCCCAGCGCTCTATCGGGCCGATATACTGCTCCCAATCGTCTCGGCATTGTTGGGATCCTGCGTTGGCCCAATCCTCAAATTTGTGACGTCGCAGGGCATAATTTTCGCAGAATCCTTGAATGTCCGGACAGGTCCGAGGGACGGGATCGGAGTAATCGTCGGAAAATGAACCTGTAAATGCCATCATGAACTGAAGACAAGAAATATCCGACCGCTAATCAATTCCAATGGCTTTGCAGATTATGCAGGAAAGATGAGGAGCCAAGAGAAGACAGTTTTTCCAAAACTGACATGGTCGTCTTTAAATCCATCATTATGGACGGACGAGCCCCTTGTCCGGAAAGAGCACTGGCAGCTCCATAATGAGGCATGATAGTGTAATTGTCAACATCATCCATTGCCAGCAAGGAGATTCTGTTCACGCGAACAGGCGTTCATCTGAGCGGGAAGGACAATCTGATCTGAAGGTGATGGAGAGATAGTACCATCGAGAGGATCTTTGTAGACATAGGCCAATCAACCCCTTGCGGGCAGTGGGGGTCTGTGAATCATCCACCGAAGTTGCGTCGCGATGAGGTGTGCCAGGGTTGAAAGAATCCACTTCAATCCACTTGGAGCCTTCCTCATTCGAATCTAATTGGGTTGGGGCGAGCTTGAAGATCGTTGATGGTGCAGATCACCTCATGGGATTACAGAGTACGTACCAAAGCTTGCAAGGATGATCCAAGCTCGGCTCATTCGAGGAACAGGTTCAAAGCTTAAGTCATTGATTTCAGACATTCGATGTCGGCATTTCATCTAAGTTCGGGTCCTTTGCAATGCCCGGGCCAATAATGTTGCGGCTGTTCGTGAGGAGAGCTGGGCACCGGAAGATCGGCAGGTGAAGCCATCATCATATCATGGATTTAAACTTCATCTCTCACTACGCTAACAACCCTGGCAAAGCCCCGAACGACGGCATTCAGAGGGGTAAGATGGCGGAGAAAGGTACCGGAAGCTGGGTTTGACAATGCGTAAGGCGAATGACATTGCATCGCAATGTTGGGAATGTGCTAGCCATCCCACATCCTGCAGCAGGCTGTGACGCTTTCAGCCGCGCCCCCAGCCACTCAGCACAGGAACCCCGCCGTCACACTGCAACCACAAGAGACTGAATCAGCACCATTATCCTGCAACAACATAGATCTGATCAGTTTCCTACCCTCCTCGCATTCCATCGTCCTCATCTGTGGAGCCCGGCCTTTTCACATCACAAGATGGGAGAGTTAGCTCCGGACCAGTCGACCGTCCTAGAGACCTTCAGGAGTTGCTGTGCTGCAGAAGGCCTGTTGGGGCGTCGGGAGGGGTTACAAGCTGGAGATGTTGTTGATGGGATCAACGACAACACTACTCTTTTGTGAGCAAAAAACCCTCTATTCATCGGTGCTGTACTGATTGGCGCATATAGACGATATTTGGGGGCTCGTCGCATGGATCCAAAAGCGGCTCTGAAGCAATTGCAAGAGGCAACCCAGTTTCAGGCCGACAGACAGGTTCTTCGTCTGTATGATCTGATCTCCGTAGAGCATTATGAGGAGACGCGAAAGCTGGTATGTTGGGAAATCTCGCGAGTGGCAACCAAAGTAGTAGTAATTCACACGATGACCAGTATCCTCACTGGACGGGCCGACGGGACCGCCGAGGGCGACCTATCCTGGTGCTCGATCTTGCTCATTTGAACGCATCCACTATGGCAGCCTGGAGAAAGACGCGCGACATTTCAAGGAACACTGAATTAACTGCATCGGGTACTATAATTCCGGATATGGAACAACGCGCAGCAATCTATTTTGACAGCATTACTCGATTCGTGCTCCCGCTTTGCTCGGCCATGAGCGACCGTCCCGACCCGACCNCCCCCATCGACAAATCCATGTACATCGTCGATGCCTCCGCCCTATCTCTGAAGCAAGCCTGGGATTTGCGGGAATTTGCACGCGATATCAGCTGGATCCTCTCGACCTGCTATCCGGAGACTATTGATCGAATCATTGTAAGGGTGCTTACACCGTGACTTGGTATTGATGTTAACTCATCTCTTAGTTGGGCAATGCGCCCTTCTACTTCGCCAAGATATGGGCTTTTATGAAGAACTTTGTCGACCCCATAACGGCTGACAAGCTGGTGATCACCAGGCCCGCGGATGCATACGCGACCATGGCGGAACACATGGACCACAAGGACATTCCAAGCCAGTTCGGAGGAGGTTTCCAGTTCACCAATGGGATGCTGCCGGACCTGGATGAGGGGATTCAGCAGGCTCTACAATGGACCAGCTCCAGTAAGGAGGCACTCCCGCAAGGGCCACTCAAGTGGACCGAAGACGAGAATGGACAGCGAAGGGCCGTGGCAACAGGAAGTATTGATGGCCGGCAAAGAAGTGAGGAAGTTGCAATCCTCCCAGTCAACCCCACCACTTTACCTTCCGAACTGCCGAATTGATGGCATGGCATATTTCCGGCGTATATGATATAGAACATGACGTTGTTATTAAAATTCTCTAAAGGATATAGCAACCGCAAATGACTAGGAAATAGCCAGCTATGCCGCTTTATTTCTCTCTCCTCTCTAGTGAGCAATAACCACTCCGTCCGGGGTATATGCCGCATGATGAAGCTAAAACTCCCTCTTATACACCCATTTAAATAGCTGGCAGGCAGTGATAGTCAACCACAAACACACTTGAAAGATGGTCATCCCGCTCCCAACCCACTCGATTGCCGGTGAAGCCAAATACTCGCCCATGTCGATGGTGGCGAGCACAAAACCTGTGATGGGGAAGACCATGCACCACCAGATAAGCTCGAAGCGAATGGTGCGGTGCCACAGAGCCTCCAACATGCTCAGTGCCGCCATGCAGAACAGAAAGAAGGCCAAGAGCCATAAGAAGACCGACGCGACCACAGCAACAATCAGCAGGACATCCGCAGTGCGCACACTGGTTGCAGCGCTGATATAGTGGTCTGGGAGTTTCTCAACCGCCGCATCCGCCATGCTGATCATGGCGATAATTGTAAAGCTGGGCGGACCCACTGCGATGAACATCTCCGGTCGGAAATTTGGCACTGGGAGACCCTCGCTGGAGATCTCCGTCAGGCTCTGTACCAAAATGACCAGGAACATGAGGAATCCGAATCCTTGCATGGTGGTGCCACCTACCAGCATGGGGACGGCCTGAGCAGGGTCCTGGTTTGGGGCCAAGACGCCGGCCATGGTGCCACTGAGCATGGGTGGAAAGTAGGGTAGGATGTTCACAATGGCGAAGTGGTCGCCATGATTGGTCCCTGTATACGGGATCCACCAGCCCAAGAGAATCGACAGCAGCAGCGACACTCCGGTGTAGACCCAGAAGAAGACGTTCAGGGTGAGGATCAACCAACGGCCACAATGCGGAGTGCCGTAGTAGGAGGTGCAGAAGATGATGGTCGCGAATGCGAGCAGCGAAACAGGGACAAAGTACAGGTCCTGGGGCTTCTTGATATGCAGCCACCGCGCGGCAAAGTTAGGCGACTCCTCCAAGGGCTTGGGAACCTTCTGTGGTCGGACAGCCTCGAAGAGAAGACAGAGGGTAACTGTGGTATAGATGACTAGGTTGGCGATAAAGACGATGGTTCCGATGGTCGTGAGGCCGGTGAACTGGTTAGGGGTCTGGTGCAGCAGCACCGCTATCCCACCCCAGCTGAGTGAGATAGCATACCAGCCCCAGGCTACCGATGAGGTAACCCTGCGTATTGGAGACATTGTATAGCCTCCCTCTGCATCCTGGCTCATGTCGATGGCGGTGGTGACGGTTGACAAGAGGGCGGAGGGGTCGGACTACAATCACAGCCAGGTTGCAGGGGTTCCTTCGACTAAATAAGTCCCGGTTTCCTATACGGCGTCTCAGAAGAAGATTCCGTATCCTTGTCTCTGCTGTCTATTGCCTTTTCTGGGCATCACCGAGCATCATATCCAGTGTGATGGTTTTGGGGGCGATGGTTGGTGACGTCATTTTCAGTCGCAGTGGAGACGCTCTCAACCAGGCACGTCGGCGCAGATGATGAAAGAACAAGAACAACTGGTGCAGATAACAATACCCGGTCAAGAAGACTGTGTCAACCTTCCCGCGTCTCGGTCGATTTCCGGGTGGCCCGATACTTGCCTCGGGATACCGATCGGCTTGCCGCAGGGGAATATACAAGTACTGGCACAATAAAGGCGAGAGAAGTTACCAATCGCGGGGCTATTAAGTAGTAGCACTACCTCGCCATGAGTTGGGATGCTACTATGATTATAAAAATAATAAGAAAGTAATTGAACTATATATATATATATATTATCCAGAACCCGAATCATCAATGGGTATGTACAACGTTCATCGCTCATTGCGGTCAATATGAGTGTATCATGTAACTACAAACATCACTAGTATGCATCCCGCATGCACGTAGCAAGGCATTCTCAAACAATCTGGTGAAACATTCTGCACTAAATTCGAATTCCCCTTTGTCTACGCCGCTCCTGTTCAACGCACAGTCTTCTCTCCCCTGTCTCGGTGCGACAGATGCAACCGCTTCCCCCACTTCATCCGACTCTTGCGCATCGCCCGCTGCGTCCGTTCCCAGGGGTAATTGACCGGCGACTCACCACCCGTGAAGATCATAAAGTCGTACAGGAAGGCACCGAGGAAGGAGCCCGCGAGTGATCCGGCCCATGGTCCGTAAAACCAGTACGGATTGGTGAACAGCGACGAGCCGTACCCGAGAGCCAGCAACGCCAGTCGGGGCCCAAAGTCCCGACTCGGATTCAAGGCGGCACCCGTCTGGTAGGCAAAGCTCATCGTGTTGCAGGTCACCATGAGACCCACGATGAGTGAGTTCATACCCGCTCCCGGGGGTGCGTTTTGATCGTCACCCAGCGCCAGGACCACCACAGTCAGTATCATCGTGCCCAGGAATTCGGTAAAGAAGGCAGTACCAGGACCGATCCAGGTCTCGCGCTGACTTGTCACAAAGCTGGTGATGATGCCCGTGGTGGAGTTGGTCAGGAGATAGTGTTGGATGGAGTGATAGTAGAGACCGTACGCGGCGAGCGCGGCGATGAAGGCCCCCAAGAATTGCGCGGCGAAGTACTCGGGCATCTTGCTCTTGGGGAAACCGCGGTAAAACCATAGCATAATGGTGATGGTCGGATTGAGATGTGCACCGGACACACCACCGGAGACGTAGATGGCCATCATGGTAGCAAACCCCCAGACCCAGTCGGTGGTGTTGGGATTACCGGCGTTGGCCACGGTCACTGCTAGATCGCCGCAAAAGCCGACGAACAGCTGCACGAAGACCCCCAGGGACTCGGCCAGGGCTTCGCGGTGATGAGTGCGGATGACGGACCAGGTGGTGTGGTTGTTGTGCACCTCCTCCTCCACCAGCTCCTGTACCAGCGGATGCAGATCTTCCGGATAGGCGGCCTCGATCTCCTCCAGATTGGGCAGGTCGTCCATCATCCCGTCCTTGCCATCGTCAGCGCGCAGCTCGGGCTCCTCCAGGACGGGCTCCAAGGGCTCCTCACTACTCATCTGAGGGGGTTCCTCATGGGTCTCACTGGGAGCCGGGGTCTCGCCTTCGGGCACCGTCGAGAGATTCTCAGGCGGGAGATCCCAGGCCGATGGGCGGCGGATACGCGACGATGAAGTCCGCGAGAGGCGCGAGCCTTGTCGCGTTGTGGTGGCATCCCCACTCAGAATCTTGTTCATGAAGTTGTTCTCACGCTGGATGCGGGCATCTTCCACCTGGGCCGCCATTTTACGAGGGTCAGCCGTCTTCTCGATTTGGCCCAGCTCTAGGTCATTGGGGTCGACCTCCAGCCCTAGCTTCTGTGAATTTTCTGCCGGCAGCTGAATATTTTGACGGGCTTCCAACAGCTCCTCCTTGGTCGGCACCATGCCCGGTCGGACGACACGAGGGAGCGGTTTCGCCAGACCCCAGACAGGTTTGGAGTTGGCGGGCTGTTCGTAGGATGGGTTTAGATCGCCATAGCCCGGTTGCACAAACGGTTCATGGGCCAAGCGCAGCTGAGGCGTCTCTTCTGGGCCAGCCATGGTGAAACGACCTTGGGTTCGTTCAGCCAGCGTGGTGCGTGGCGCCAAACTGGGGATGCCACTTCCACCACTGCGACGGGAGGCGGCGGAGCTGCGTCGACGAACTCCAGCCCCGGAGCCATCACGGCCAGAGACGCGGCGGGTGGGAGAAACAAAGTCAGCGTCACCAGCAGTCCCTCGGCGGCCGCGAGTAGGTGATAGAGGTGAAGTGGGAGGGTTCTCTCCTCGGGGGGAGATCGCATCAGACTGCTCAAGCGAGGAGATTACTCCGATCAGCTCCTGGCTCAGCTGAAGGAGAATACGAGTGAACATACCGTTGCCCGTGGGCGCCTGGTCTCCCCGTCGTCCATATTGTGACGGAGATAGATGCTATGTGCTTATTCGAAGGGTGATAAAATTGCTCCTGTCGATGGGATGCGAATAATGGACGGGATGCGGATGGCCGACTCAACTGGAAGCAATGGCTGCGTGACACACTCAAGACGCCCAGCTGATGTTCCAGACGTTGAAAAATTGGCCAGTGAGCAACAGGAGTAGGGGAACAATTAAAGACAGGAGAAGAAAGAATGGCGTGAAGGAGCAGCAAACATGATGACGACTTGCTGGCGCCCTCTCCGCATCTCCGACTGGACCAGAGACTGCAGCGAGGGCGTAAGCGAGCGCATCCACACCGGCCATTGAGCATTGATGCGCGAGATCTACAAAAAGTACAGGCCAGTGGGTTGCGGTGGTGCGGGCAGACTATCGGGGAGCGTTGAAGACATGGGAAAGACTGGCGTCATGGGTGGATCCTCATGGGGCTTGTCGGAAAGCTTGAGAGGCAAAGGAATCGACACGCAACAGGGTTTGGTTCCTGGCCTGATCCCCCAAATGCTTCGCTGGTTGGCCCTGGTCCGCGGTATAACCCACTATACATCCCCGCTCAATGACGGTCCTCTGTGGTCATCGTCACCGATCATCGTGAGTTATTGGGCCCTGAATGGCGATAACCCCTCCTCATCGATCGATCGGGGAGCTGGCGTGAGAAGGACTAAAAAAGATGCAAAGATTTTTGCTTCAGCCGGTGGTCGGGTGTCAGGGCCATTATTGTGTCCAGTGGACATCCAGTACAGTACTATTTTAGCTGCGCGATGGAGATTTGATAGAATTGTGCAATATGGTTCGTGGTGGATGGAACGTGCGTGGAATCAGCCACAAGGGAACCGGCCGGCACGATTGCGCCGTTCCTTGATTCTTGCTCCTTAGTCTCCGGACACAATCCAATCCCATTCGATCCATTGTGTCTTCCGAGGATTCCCCGATACTCGGCAGATTACGGATAGAATCAATGCTGAGGGGTGGATTGCCGGTGAGGAAAGACTTATCGCGAGAGAAAACCCAAGTAGAGGGAGATAACAGCAATTCTCGGTGTTTGCTGGGTTTTTACCCTCTGAGAATCCTAGTCAGCATCTATGCTGGTAGTAATCGCACCCTTTGATCAGTAATTTCAGCCTTTTGTTCGGGGCCATGGAAATGTCTTGGCAAGGAGTCTATCCGAGACTTCCGCGAAGAGTTTGCAAAGGGATGAGGGAACCCCAAGAGAACGCGAGACACGTTCTCATTGTACTATATAATGCATCTCTGGAAATTTCTACATAGGCACATGAAGACATCGTGACTAGACTCATGTTGATGCAGTTCCTTTCTTCCATCTGTTAGAGAGGAGATTCTTCCCGGCGCAACAGAAAATGACTACTGTTGAGGATCACTCGGAACCCAACGGATCCTGCATAACCTCTTTGTGAGGAAGAGGAAAAGTAACCTCCTATTTCTCTTATATAGTATTCACTCTCAGTGACGTCCTCGGACGCTCCACTATCGCAAACTTAGTGTGAAAACTTTTGGCTGCTCACTGTTGACTCACTGCGAGAGGCTGAAACCGTGCTACCTCATTAGAGATCCTAACAGGCAACCGTGTCTGCCTACCACTAGATATCTACCTAGCCAGATACCTGGAGATGAAAGGGTTTCCACCCTGACAGAAGATGAAAGACGAACAGTGGGGCGTGTCTCAGCCGAGCAGCGTCCGCCTTCCATATTAGGCCTGGAATAGCCTCGTCCTCGACTCTTTCGGGAATAGGTGATGACCCTGTCAACACTATCGCTGTTCGGCTCATCCAGGACCCAAGGGTCCAAAGATTTTAAATCGGCTCGCCCAGCATCACCTGTAGAATATAAAACTCGGAATTTCCGGTTGCAGAGCTTGAGAAACGTTCAACACCACCATACCACCCGCGAGTTTCGCTGTTTGACCTGCCATGGCTGCCCTCTCCCGCCTCAATGGGCAGATCTCCACCTTTCTCGCTGTTGGCTTTCTAGCCTCGTGGGTCATTACCGCTTTGAGTTTGACCGCTATCAATGTTCTCAATACTGAAGCCACTTTCACCGCGCAAGCTGCCTCCGTCAGCTTGCTCACCTTCCTCGTGTGCCGATTGCTGGTCCGCCTTCAGCCTGTCGCTCCCACCGAGGGGAGAACCATCGCGCATCTCCTTGCAACAGCAGACTACGGTTCCCGACATGGCTCGCTCATTCTCGTCTCCTTCTGCAGCACATGGCTGTACGAGCTGCTGACCAAAGGCGTCCTCCTGCTTCTGTTGACCTTCTTTGGCGGCGTCATGGCGACCGTAATCTACAACGACCCTAACTTCTCGGAAAACTGGCAGGCAGAGCCGCTAGCCGACCAGACCCAAACGACAACGGCGCTGGCTGAAATTGATGAGTTCAAGGAAAAGGCTGGCTTCGATCCGACGCAGTTATTTCGATGGATCCCACCTCAGGCAATCGTCTACTTCATCGCCCTAGTGTGGCTTAACTTCATCAGTCTGGGGCTGTACATTCTCGGCCATGGACTGAAGGCGCTTTGTAGGGTCTTAGGCTTTACTGTTACGCGCAACACGAGCAAAGATGACCGTACGGTGGAAGGGCGCTCCTGAGCTTGCCCCATGCCATATTGGATTAGGGGATACTCCGTGTATAAACAGCCCGACAGGCATCGTCAAGACTAGTGTCAAATGTACAGCATGATTTACTCAACCACATATTACGATTGCAATTCCTATCCTATCCTAGCACCGTCTCAGGTGTTCTATCCTCTTCGTATCCGCAAAATATATTCATTGTGACGGCTTGACTAAACTAGGCTCACCATTGCTGCTCGCAGCGCGCCCCTTCTGCTCCGAAGGGATGAGGAAAGCACTGATAGGTAGATTTCCAGATGCAAATCATTGCCTAAGAATTATTCACTTCAGCATCGCGGGAAGCTTCCGTTCTCGGGGTGCTTGTGGCTTCCTGCCAGAACCCTAACACGCGCCGAATGACAATTTCCTGTTGACATTCTGTGAGCCCCGCGTAAAGTGGTAGCAAGACAATCTCCGCTGCGGCGCGTGTAGTCACCCGATCCTCGCCATGAAAACGCCCGAACCGTTCGCCGAATGGAGAAGAGTGTAGCGGCACGAACTGTGCCTGTGTCTGAATTTGTCCGGCCGCCATATGCTCAATGAATGCAGATCGGTTTGTGGCGTCAGTCAACCGAAGCCAGAAGACGGCTGCGTTATGGTCCGCCTCCGCAGCCGGTTGGGGTAAACAGATGACACCCGCGTCGGCCAAAGGGGCCAGGCATCTGTGATAGCGAGACCAGAGACGTCGGCGGCATGAAAGAATCTGCGGCGCGGCTTGCAACTGGGCATATAGGAAGGCTGCTTGAATCTCGCTCAGGGTTGCGTTAATCCCGACATCCAGCCAGCGATAGATATCCACTTCGCCACGCAGGAACTGAGCTCGGTTCGTGCCGTGTTCATAGAGGATTTCAGCCCGCGCGACGAGTGAGTCCCGGTTGACGAGTAATGCCCCTCCCTGACCTTCACTAGTGAATACTTTCTTCTCTTGGAAACTGATGCAGCCAAGGTGCCCTATGGTTCCAAGCGCGCGTCCTCGATACGTGCTGCCGCAGGCCATAGCGGCATCCTCAACCACGAGCAGGTCATGCCGACTGGCAATGTCCAGGATGGTGTCCATGTCGCAGGCGATCCCTGCATAGTGCACCGGGACAATGACCTTGGTCCGGGGCGTGATGGCATCCTCGACTTTCTGCGCATCGATGTTCAGGGTCGTCTCTTCCACATCAACAAAAACCGGTAGCGCCCCATGGACAACAAAGGCATTCACGGTTGACACATACGTGTAGCTCGGTACAATCACTTCGTCCCCTGGTCGCAGATCGGCAAGGAGGGCCGCAATCTCCAAGGCTGAAGTGCACGAGCTCAAGACAAAGGCCTTGCCATGTGGCATGCTTGATTCAATCCATCGCTGGCACAGTGCCGTGTACTTGCCTTTTCCCGTAAGAGTTCGGCTGGCGAGTACCTCTTGGATGGCCTCGAGCTCCTGGCCCGTGACGGTTGGCTGGAAAGTAGGTATACTCGCCTCCGACATGGCCATATCCAAGGATTCAGGAACGGAAGTCTTGCTGAAGATGGTAAATACTGCTTGATCTGACCGACGCACTTATTTTGCATGAAAATACAGTACCATCATTAGCCAGCTGCGTCATTTTCACAACATATGTGATCAGTCACGCTATCCTTGTCACATTTTATCTATTTTCCCTGCTAGGTAGCTTGAGTGACGTGCACGAACCCAACCACACTCAAAGCTCGGTCGCCGAAGAAGAAAGTTCTTGGATCACTTGAAGTATTGGGCCGTGAAGGGCACTGTCAGAAGTTTCGAATCCCTGGTCATCTCGGCCTGATGTTACCAACCCTCGTGCTGCTGTGGCATGTAACACAAACCCCTCCCTTATGATTATTGTGAAATGGTTGTGTGTCAGTTTGTCTCACGCTTGTCACACAATAGAGTGTTTGCCCAATTGTCTCGGCGTGGTTGGGGGCGGGCAGAAATGGCACAGGTAAAGGCTCTCAAACCTGAGACGACCTGGCTCACTGTAAGGTGCTTGATGGGACTTATTCTATTCTTCTTCTGCGATAAGCCGTCGATTCATGCTTATCCCTGGCTTTCTTAGTGGAAAGAGGCCGGCCATCTACCTTCTCAACGAGCATGAGTGCCCATTCTGCGCCCGTGCCATTCTGCCTCCGTTGGGGTATCCTCGGTATGTGCCTTGCTTACCTTGGCCCACCCGAGAACACGTTGACCAGACTATTGACTTTTGGTAGCCACTGGCACCATTGCTGAGAGTAATACACTTGACCCGTAGTGCTGGTTATTTCAGTGTCTAATCTGCCATATAGCATTTGCAAAAGACCTTCTCATCGATCCCGCCTCGCGAGGTGTTACCGATGTGTCGCATTTATTGGTGGCGGTGGCATCTTCGCGATCCACCGAGATCGCCAGCCGCTTCATCAACAAGATCGGGGCGCCGTCGTCCTGCATTGCGTATGGTAGCTACGACGCTCTGGTGGCGGACCCCCGCGTAGATGTCGTCTATGTAGCCTCTCCACATTCCCACCATTACCAGAACGCCATGCTCGGGCTGCAGGCCGGAAAGCACGTGCTCTGTGAGAAACCATTCACTGTGACGGCTAGACAGGCACATCGACTTGTCGAGACAGCTCGTGAGCGTGAACGTTTCCTCATGGAAGGCATGTGGACACGGTTCCTGCCAATCTCAGCTCAGATCCGCCGGGAGATCCAGAAGGGTGCGATTGGGCCCGTTATTCGGGTCTTCGCGGACAACTCGATCGGAACAGACGCTTTAAAGGAGCTGAAGGACAGTTATCTGACCAAGAAAGAGTTGGCTGGAGGGGCGTTGCTCGATTGTACGTTCTGTTTGGTTTCTGTGCGTCAAACGAAACTAATGGTTGCTGGAGCGTAGTGGGCGTATATCCGATCCATTGGATCTTCCAGGCCCTTTCACCCATGCCTGACCCAAAGCCCAGCACAGTTTTCTCGACAACCATGCCCCTTGTCTCAGCCGGGGTGGACGAATCGACAACCGTCCTTCTGACCTTCTCTGCCAAAAGTCCGTCGCCTGTCTCGGTGCAGGCGATTGCCAGCGCCAGCCTCCGCGCCACTGCAGATCCGGATGGTCACACTCCAGTCGTACGGATTCAGGGAGACAGAGGGGAGATTCAGATTTATGGGCGCCCCTGGTGTCCATCCAAGTACTGGGTCGTCAAACGAGAGCAGCGGTTTGGTGTGGTGGGAGAAGCGGAAGAGTTCGAGTATCGCATTCCAGGAGGCGGGCATGGGCTTTGCTTTGAGGCGGACGAGGTCGCCCGATGTGTCCGAGATGGGCGCCAGGAAAGTGCGTCCATGCCGTGGGTGGAGAGTTTGGCTGTTCTCGATATACTGGATGCAGTACGCAAGGCTCATGGGCTTCACTTTTCAGATATCGTCGAGGCGGATGAGTATCCACTGTGTATGCCCGCAAAGATGGACTGAGCACATATTTGTTCTTTAGTTCGGCATATTGCGGAACGATCTTTTTAGGTAATTTACATGATCGCATCATTGCCTTGTTGAATCAGGCACCCGGCTCCCGTGTAACACGCGACCTTTCAGCGGAGTAAATGCAACAACGAGGATTACCATCAAGGCACTGAAGGCTCCCAAGGAAATAACCATTGCACTCCAACTCACACTCTCTCGAATATATCCAGCATACAAAGGCCCAACCAGTGTCCCTGCAGCAAAGGCAGCATTACTCAGACCGTAAGCCTGTGAAGAGGCGCCTCCATCTCCATAGATTCCTGGATGTCCAACCTCCATGTCGTCTTTGGCTAGTGTAATTTCTGTCATCATGGCAGGCATGGCAAGAGATACCCCACAGCCGAACAGGAACAAGAACAGTCGAAGCAGCACAGACATGATCATTTCCGGCTCACGGACCAGCGACAGTAACATCATGCTAGGGGTAATCAAGGTAAATCCGAGGACCGCCGGCCAGAACGGACCCATGCGATCTACCACAGCTCCGCCGATTGGAGAGCAAATCATGGGCAGTGTATTGGACGGAAATACAATGGCGATCTCCGTCGACCGGTAAGGGAAAACTTGAGGGAGATACACAGGTAGCACAGCCTCCAAGGCAGTCATGAACGAGTTCAGCATGAACATTCCCGTCATCGCGGTAATGAACCTAGGCATGCATAGCAAGTATAAAAGTGCAGGCTTCCTTGGCGACACTGTGGTGGGAGTTCCCGCGGCATCCGTCATCAATGGACGTCTCTCCTCCTCGGTGAGGTTTCGCTTGTTATCAGTTTTCAGCGACGGCCTGATGAGAAGCACCCGAAGGACAAACTCCAGTACGACAAGCACAAAGGCTGGGACAAAGACAGCGAAGTATCCAGCCAGGTCGTACAAAAAACCACCCACGATGGGTCCTGCGAATAAACCAACGCTGAGGCTCATGCTCGTAAAGCCGATGGCACGTCCAATGTGTTGCTCCCCAACTGTGTCCAGCATTAGACTAAATCCAATTGTAAATACTATGGCGGTCGAACAGCCCTGCAGGATTCGAGCGAGAAGGATCACGGCCAATGATCTGGTAAGTGAGAAGAGCAGGGTCGCACCCCCCATAACCCCGACCCCGAGCAAAAATGGTAGCTGCTTCGTGCGGGTTCGGTCGCCCATCCATCCAAAAAGCACTGTAACCATAATTGAGTAAGTAGGTGTCTGTGGTAAGGGTCAGCCCGGCTAATAATGAATAGCTCACATGACCCCAGCATGATGGACGCCCCGTAGCTAGCAAGTAAGATGGAATTCCAATGCTAAATATCGGCATCAGTGAGGCCTACACGCTCGGCGAGGGCAAAGGGAAGCATGGGTACGACTAGTCCATAGAGAAAGATATCAGTGAAGACTGCCACACAGACCACCAAAACTGCAAAAGTGGTTGATGACCGGAACTGCTTCACCAACATGTTGTGGCGGACAGAACGGCAATGCAAGGCAGTGCAACAAGATCGCCTAGGCTGCATTGAGGAGCAGGATACAGTGGACTTCCGTTCTGATAGATAGTATTTAAGCCACTCTGATCACTAACCTTTCAATCACGGCTAAGTCCCCAAGCCTGGATCTTCCAGCAAGACGGGTTGTGTAGCCTTATGGAGCCCCGTCTTCAAGATGTAAGATTCTGCCAAAGTCATCCAATGCGTTGCAGTCCAACAACCGTATATCCTCTACTTGACTCGCAAGATAACCAGCATTATAGACATTGATAGCGTTCGTAAAGTCTGACATTTCTTGTGTCGCCAGTTCGCAGGTTACAGGACTGTTTCGTAGCTTTGACTGGAGGACAGGAAAAAGCATGGATGTTGGACAGACCCCTCAGAATATTAACCACAATTAACGTGTGTTACACCAAAGCCAGATTCTACCTCTCGATACGGTAACGCATTACGCATGTTGAAGCTATTGAGGCATGCAGTCCCGGCGGCTATGGCTCATTTCCTCCGCTTGCGTTACATATTTCAATAGCAAAGGTTACCAAATCATCGGCTGTGGTACTAGTAATCATTCTCTACGACAGCTAAGGGATTAGCCATGTCTAAATCCAAAATTTCCTTTCCGTTCTGGAATGTAACTCCACTTTAACGAGGATGATCGCAGTCATGATATATCATTGATTTGGGGTAATAATCGAAGCGTGCACGAATGTAATATAGTACCTCGAGGGCCTCAAATAGGCGAAATTTCTCTAACGCACGGCAAACCCAGCAATGACAGTCAGCATTTCAATCTGCTCTGGTCCGTCTAATATTTGCTTCTCCAGGAATGTGGAATACATCTCGCGGAGCCAGGGACGATTATGGTGGTGCTCAAGTGCATTCGTATTGGCCCATCTGTGTAACCATGTCAACTAATCCTCCTACCGATTCCTAAGCCGGGTCCGCCCAACACATACCTTTCGATGACCTTGAACTCCAAGCTGCCATCCGCTCGGTGATGTTCTGTTAGAAGAAATGTCAGGCATGATGGCTCCGCCTGCTCCACAAGATGTGTTGTGTCGCAAAGGAGGCATCTGAGCTAACGAGACCATGGACGTCAGTGGGTTATGAGCAATGCCTGACAAACAGTGAGGTAAGGGGCGTATACTTCTGTCTCTTTTCCGGGGGCCGGTCGCAGGGTGGCTATGAGTTGGACTTCAGTCATGACTGATCCCAGTTGCTGGCTAGACCAGCAAGGATGACGAGAGGGGAATTGCGCTTTTATCTCAATTCCTTGCTGCCGGCGTTCCCCATGTCCTTTGTTAGCCCACAGTCATTCATGCAATTGGGGCTTCCCATGCCTGCAGCTCCAAGAAAGGCCGCAATGTCTACACGCATCCTCAGTCCCTGATGTCATGTCCCTAACGCATGGTGCCTCTCTAAGCCTTGGGTCGCCCCCACGTGGCCGTAACCGCCGCTTTCAACCATAGACCACAACATACCCTGGCGTTACCCTCCATCGAACCTGTGCAAATGGGTCGTCGTACCACACAAGTGTCTACTGTCGAGTTCGGTTCAAGAAACCTGTTGTATGACTAGTTATTGTTGTTATAGTACCGATGACCATTAATTTGAGAGAAGTGATCGATGGCCATTCTCGGGAACTGAGCGAAGCGGACAAAAGGTACTCATCGGCGGAGCAACAACTTGTCTTTCAAGGTCGGCTAGTCCTTAATACCATTATTGAAATGTACGGTTTATGCATGTTGACGCCGATACCGAGCTTGATGACTAAATACCAAAGACCGTGACATCCCACTATACTCACCTGCGGCTTGGAGACTGCATCAAGAGACTGGACTTGACTATTCGGCCGCTGGGATGGGGCTCACTAGTAAGTTATTATTGCTGATCGTCTTACGCCTTTCACTTAAGGAGATTCTCAGTCCAGTCTCCAAGGTGACTGAGTCGGTTTGTGTTCCAAATGAAAGGTAACTAGACGTGGAACCTGATCCTATTACTGAACTACGAGCGTTTTGACAAGCTCTACTATCTTCGTACAATATATTAGCTATGGCGCCTTCTTCAGGGTCCGGAGATAGTAGCAGAAACTTGGGGCGAACTATTGCACTCCTGTACGCATTGGAGCGAAAAAGATGGTCTGATTATCCGGCTGACTAGGAGACTCCTCCGTGTGCTTAGATGATCGCACACAGCTGTGTCATTATGGTGTATTGGTTACGCTGACTGCGTAAAGGTGCATGTTGGAATTCTCACCATCATTATTCCTTGGCCACGAAGTGACAATGAAAACTGCAAATCCGAGCCCAGCCGTCATGGATATAGACATGAGACACGAGGTCTACATCATGGACGAAAACCAAATTACTTCTTGTGGGTGCCCAAAGTGCTGTGGAGCACCCGATCCCATCGCCTGGTGTGTGTAATTGTATGCTGTGTCCTGTTGCCTCATAGTGGGGAATCCGCCGGCCTTCGTGGCATACTCCAATGGCCTAGCTATATGCTCTTCTGCTACTTCGAATCGACTACAATTCGGGACTTGTTGAGCTATTCCTGTTTTCCGAAACAAGAGCATATACATAACCACGGGTGCTTGAACACTGAAGGCAGTGAGAAGTCAGCATGGCGGGAAGCGTGAACGGCTCCGCAGATTTGAAACAAAACAGGCAGAAATAATGCGAGGCTCCCTGAACTAACAGGGATGATTGCTCCCATGACGTTATACGTGCCTCCATTGATGCTAATGTTTAACTTATAGAGCATCGAAATCTTTGTGCAAGAACTGTGCTGTCTATGTGCGATCATTACACAAAAGTCGGCCGCACGATGACTGTCCAACAACCACGACTTGAAATCAATGGCTCAGACGAGGAGAATACCATGAAAAACGTGAAGACCATATTGGTTACTGGAGGCGCCGGTTTTATGTGAGTCTATTACTGTGGCTATGGTTATTGGAGTTTCAAAGACACAGATAGGTAAACTAACACTGCTTGGTCAGTGGAGGCTGGTTCGTTCGACACCTCCTTCAGGTATACGGAACGAAATATACGGTACTCTGTTTTGATATCCTCGATTACTGCGCATCTAAGCGCAACTTTCAACCCGTTGAACATTTGCCTAACTTCCACTTCTTTCCGGGGGATCTGTGCGACCGCGACAGAGTGACTGCTCTCTTCCAGCAGTTCAAAGTGGATGCAGTTGTCCACTTCGCGGCCAATTCTCATGTGGATCAATCTCTAGTTAACCCGCTCTCTTTCACTCGGAGCAACGTCACAGGGACCCATGTCCTTCTGGAAGCAGCACGCCAAGCTGGGACAGTAATAAGGTTTATCCACATCTCTACTGACGAGGTATACGGAGGAAACATGCCAGGCCAGGACTATGCCTTTACCGAGGAAGATCAGCTGAACCCCACCAATCCGTATTCTGCTAGCAAAGCCGCTGCTGAGATGATCGCCAATTCCTACCGTTATTCCTTTCACATGCCCATCATAATAACCCGCTGCAATAATGTTTTCGGTCCCTGTCAGTACCCTGAAAGTGAGAGCTCCCTGATGCTGATTTAACGGGCTGCTGTTCCCTGACATACCTTGTGCTAGAACTCATTCCAAAGTTCGCGATGCAAATGCTACGTTCCCAACGAATGACTTTACATGGTCAGGGAGAGGCAGTTCGTGGTTTTGTCTACGTCAGTGATGCCATGAGCGCTTTCGATATCATTCTTCATCGAGGCCTTGTGTCTGAGACATACAATATATCCTCGAAAGAGCAGATAAAGGTCGTAGACGTTGCGAAACGAATTATTCAGTGGTTTCATGCAGTCCAGAGCGATACCTGCGAACAATATCTGGAGACAGTCGCAGATAGACCCTTCAACGACCGGATGTACTGGACCAATGATTCCAAGCTTCGACAATTAGGATGGACGGAGAAAGTGTCCTTCGATGAGGGACTTATAATGACACTAGAATGGTATCGTGACCATGGCGAAACATTCTGGTCTGGACCAGGGCCAGCGTGTAAATTGAACGGGAGGCAGGGTTGATCATACAAATTCAGATTGGCACCCGCGCTTTGCTCAAGACGTTGAGGCCCATATACGAGAATCACTCCATCACATTACCAATATATTGATTATATGCGTGTGAAAGAGAATATAATAACTGCATACCTTCAGTGGCGACTAAGCCCCTCTGGTGACATTTAAATTGCCATCCAAGGAAGTCAAGACGACAAAGATACAGCTTTCCTCTCTTGGCTGTTAACTTCCTAGACATCAACAGTTGAATAATGTCTCCACACAAGACCGCAAGTGGGTTTGTTAGTGCTTATTTCGAGCGTTGTGCTGGCTTCTGTAGACTAGAAGACTGCCGTTCAGCACTGAGCCCCTACGGCGTTGATCATCAAAGTGCAAGGAAGCACTTTTCGCTGATTTGACAACATATAGTGTCTCTTAATAGCCCACTTAGTCGCCTTATTAAACTTGAAATGGACTTCGGAGACTCTCCGAATACACTTGGGGTCTTTAGACAATGTACAGTGCGGAGTAGCCCAGGGAACGGAAAAAAACCGAAAGACCAATCCAACCGGAGAATTCCAGCCAGCCCATCAGAACCTCAAATACCGTCATCGTCAACTCATCCCTTTCAATTTTCCACCCTCCTAACAAGCTATTACCATGTTTGCTTCAAGAGCAGTCAGAATATCTGCGCAGGCCGCACGTGCTTTCGGCACAAAGACCCCGACCGTGGCCATTCTCCACCAGGCCATTGACCCACCAGTGATCAATGGCGTCACAAAGCCTCGCAAGCCGGGTGGTAAGCACTCCTCGCCCTCAGAGACATACTTACAGCTGAATTGCCCCCAGGCTATCAAGATTCCGGCGCGGACATTGCTTTCACCCTTCAGCAGAAGGGTGTGAAAATCATAAAGTCAGATCCCGCGGTGTCAGTCTCCTCTCATAAAGGCTGGGCGTTCCCGGACACGGAGGAAGGCATCTGCAGCGCGATTCATCAGGGCGCTACGCATCTCTGGGCTAACACCATACTTGTGAATTCTCACCCGCTTCAAACATCTTCAAAGCTCACGCCTTTGGCCTCTGAGATCTATGTCGTCGGCCAGCCGCCAAGTCTTGTCGAAGACTTTGATGACAAGGCCTATCTGAACGATAAGCTACGGGAGCTGGGGAGATATACTCTGCCAAGCTCGTGGCTTGTCAGTCCCAAAGATTTCAGTGAAGTTATCAATAAGATCAATTCGTATCCAATTGTTGGGAAGCCCATTCGAGGACGCGGTAGCCATGGAGTGAAAGTGTGTCACGATAAGACCCAACTACAGCAACACATCCAAACCCTCCTTCATGAATCGCCACTGGTCATGCTCGAGGGGTTTCTCGCCGGTGAGGAGGCAACCATAACCGTTATGCCTCCAACCAGGGATCGTCCCCAGCACTGGAGCATGCTCCCCGTCACACGCTTCAACCACGCCGAAGGCATCGCCCCTTACAATGGTGTCGTCGCCGTGACTGCCAATTCCCGAGCCATCTCACCAAACGAGCTCAAAGATCCGGCTTACGGAAAGGTAATGCGTGAATGCGAGAGTGTCGCTGCTCTCATCGGTGCTACGGCGCCAATTCGCGTCGACGTCCGCCGGTTCGCGGAGGGATCGGACTTTGCCTTGTTTGACATAAATATGAAGCCGGTAAGACATCAATCCTGAGCAGTCGCGATGATGAGAGGCTGAGTGAGTGTAGAACATGACTGGCCCAGGTCGACCGGGGCGCCAAGACCAGGCGAGTCTCACGGCCATTGCTGCGTCAGCGATGGGGTGGGATTACAGCACCTTGCTGCAGAATATCCTGATGGGAGCGCAGCCATTGAATGTGTTTAGAAACTACAAAAGTCCGTTTTAGACGAACTAGCTCCGTTTTGTTTTCCTAGGTTGTCCTCTTCGCGTGGTGTGTATCACTGGTCGTTTGTCACATTAAGTGTTATATTTGTGTGTTCATGGGACATGATGCATTACTGCGCCGACGAATATTGGCCCCTTAGAAGCAGTATGGTAGAGTCTGAGCTTGACTTAAATTGTGCTTGTCGGAGAAGATTCCTCGACAAACATGCTCCTACTGCCTTTGCCAGGGAGCTCAAGCAAGCCATCGAGAGCTGGACTGGGGCTCCATTACCTGAATCGCTTAATGAAATAAACTGGCCTCGGCGAGTGGCAGGCACCATATTGTGACCAACAATTTCCTGTTACGCCGACTTATATCACGACTCCGTATCGGTCCACGCCCATAATCTTCTCGGATTATCCACAAACAACCGCCTCACCTGCGCCTGTGTTCCCGCCCACTCAAGCGTCTGTTGCAGAATAGCACGATCATCGACGTCCCGAAAGTCCTACTCAACCAATCTCCCGCCAGCTTCATTCCCCTCCTTACTCGCCGTATGCGGCCAGTCGCTTCCAAAAACCACCATGTCCGGCCCATGTAACATAAGAGTCTCCGCAACGACTCGCAGATCACTATACAGCGGCTCGTTCCGCGAGTTCTGGTACGGCGCCGAGATCTTGACGAAAAGGTGGTGTCGTTGCATGAGATCCACCACTTCGCGAAACCCGAGGATGCTGAAGGGGTCGATAGAGTTGATGGGATTGCCCGTGCGGGAGCCTGTCATAGCATGGGCGTAATGATCTGCTACGACGCGTACACCCAGGGTTGGAATGATAGGGTGGAGGGACTTGAACGCGGCGATAGGGACCCAGAGCTCCAGGGTCCAATTGTGAATTCGCGCGATGGACGCCGCACGGATGGTATCGGCGGTGATCTGAGCGTCTGTCCCTTCGTTGCCGTAGTTGATGCGGATACCGCGGACGCCAGCGTCGTGGAAGGTTTGAAGGGTGGTGTTATCAATTTCCGCCGAGAGGTCCAAGACGCAGACGCCGCGATAAGTGCCATTGGAGGAGCGAAGGGCGTCAACGAGGACGCTGTTGTTGGTTCCATATACGCTAGGTAAGACGATGACAGCATGCTGGATGCCGATGGAACGTTCAAATGCTGCGGCCTGTTCGCGAGTCGCCGCCTTTGGGGTGTACTCTACCAATATATATAAGTTAGTCAAAACTGGGCGGTAGTTTAGAATGCGGGTAACGGCGCGCACCTCTATCTGGATTGAGTGGATACTTGTCGGATTCGATAATATGAATATGAGAGTCCCTGTGTTGGAGTTAAACCAAATATTTGGTAGGCCACGTACCCAAGGGGGGTGCTACCAAGCATATTTCGGGACTGTTAGCCCGGATTGGGCCTTGACGATTGTCATACTGACAAGAAGGGACAACTCTTAATGTTAGTGAAGACTATTACTGGATGCAACGAACGCACTGCCTGCAGAATGGTAAAGCCAGTAGTTTGGAAATGCATACTGGAAGAGACTGCAGACACCGTCACCCACTGGCAGTCCCACCACGTTGCGGCTTATAAGGTGCCTTGGGATCATTTCCCCGGATTTCAGATGATGGGTACAGGCATATCGATGGCATACCCCCTCCCGCACCCCGCAGTTATCCGTGGTGATGGTCCGGCAGAGCACGTTTTGTTTGGGAAATGAAATTGATAGAGGATCTACTATCGGATCTATCCGAGCTGACGGAATTGTGTATCGGCTTTACCTCCTACTAGTATGACGAACGGACCAACGCCGAAACTAGTATGTATATTTTGAAGCGCACCTCGGTTCGGTTGCCAGCCGAGGGGACTACTAGTTTGTCTTCCCCCGCACTGTTTCTCAGCCAAACTTGTTGCCTTATCTGATGACGAGATACCCGGTTTCTGCCCGTCTCTCTTTCGGCCTAAAGATCTCAATATTGCGCTATATCCGGATATACTAGGATGGAGCAGCCGAGCCCGCCATGGTATCCAACCACAGAGGTCCGCCCTTCTGCAAACGCTCTCTCGAAGACGCACAGCTCAACGACTTCGACTCGGCATAAACGGCGTCCTGCGGCTTGTGTCCGCTGTCGTCGGCGAAAGGTCCGCTGTGATGGCGCCGTACCCACATGCTCCAACTGTGCGAAAGCTGGTGTAGACTGTATGGAAGGGCGAGCTGCATCTGCTGTATCCAGAAGGTAATTGCCTTCCCCATTGCGAAGGTACCTGCTAAGATAAAATACATTCAATAGCCGATTGTACTATCTGGAACGGCGCGTTCGAGAGCTAGAAAGACTAGAAATATCGCCACTACGCGACAATTTCGACAATAGCCAAAGCGCCTTTGATCAAAATCAACTGCTTGGTGGGCACAATGCAAGTCCACCACAAACCTCTGTAGTGGCTGAACATCATGGCCTTGACCTGAGTCAAAACCACCACAGCCCTCCCGTACAGTCATCGGCTGTCCCGAGCTCGACCCAGATCACTCACAACCAACCGCCGGCCCATGAGGTCGGCCTTCTGTCCCTGGCCAGCAATACAGATCCTAAATATTTAGGCCCATCATCTGGAGTTTCATTCGCCCAGCTCATCTATGAAAGCGCCCCCCAGTCACAAGGCTTGCCATTGCCGCTGCTTAGAAGCCAAGGGACACGGCAAGAGCTGCACGCTCTTCCACCTACAGTAACGGGGCAGGCGCTCACGTCAGAAGTCTCTAGCATTCCACCCATCCACTTGCCCTCCCCAACAGAGTGCCAGCAGTACGCAGAGGCTTACTTCGAGAGCACGTGTCTTTATCCTTTCATCTCACAGGACAGGCTATATGAGCTCCTAAGCCAAGTCCGGAAGTTTAAAGAGACATCTACATGGAATCATCCGGTCCCTATTAGACTAGCTGCGGCGCAGCTAGGTCTCGTTCTGTCCTTGGGGGCACGGTTCCTTGAATTACGACTCGGGTCCGAATTTGACTCCCACGACTTTTTTGTCTCTGCCATGACTCACTGCTCCCAGATATGCCTTCAGGATAGCGTGGAGGGTGTACAAGTCCTGTTACTGATGGTTCTTCACAGCTTCTATAGTCCAAAGGGCCTAAATGCTTGGTATCTTCTCCACACTATCATTGCAAGCTGTCTAGACCTTGGCCTTCAACGACGGCATGGATGTGAGTGGACGCAAAAAGATGGAAGGGCAATAATCTCTAAGACTGTCGTCTAGATGCTCCAGAGTTGAATTTGACGACATACCCTGTGACCGCACAAAGACGTAGCGCCATATTCTGGTCGGCATATTCAATGGATCGGACACTAACAACTATTCTCGGTCGTCCATTGACCCTCAGAGATGAGGCCATTGATCAGCCATTTCCAGGTCTTGAGGGAAGCGATGAAGTTGACGAAGCAGGAACTCAGTGGCATCGTGCATGTATTACGTCGGAAATGAACATGCAGCCCTCCGAGCAAATACCCTCGACGTATCTAGCATTTATTTACTCCCTACGATTTGACCGAATCATTGCTGAGATCAAGCTAATGATTTACCGCGTCTCTCGCTCGCCACGTCGTTTTCCCTGGCCATCGAATATTCCCGCCTGGCAACGGGAGACAGAACAAGCTTGCAATAACCTCCTAACCGAAGTCCACAATCAGCAGCGCGGCCGTCCGCTGTGCGGCCGCAGCTCACTATCTGGAACAACCGTGCAATGCCTGGAGATCAAATTCCACCAATGCATCATACTCCTCTACCGACCGAGCCCTCAGTTGCCATATCCAAGCTTCGATGCCATCAAAACATGTTTTGGTAGCGCAATGAAGATAATCCAGATCAACGCGGAGCTTCACCGCTTCTTGAACATGGAGTTGTCGTGGCTCTCTGCTCACTCTATCTTTGTTGCTGCCATCACAGTGCTGTATTGCCTCTGGGCTTACCCTACGGTGAGAGGTCTGATGCCGGTAAACGTTCCATTATCCCGTGTAGAGTCCGCCTTGGAGCTCCTTACATTCCTTAAACGGCAATGGTCTGTAGCAGTGCAGCCATGCGAAAAGCTCTCGCGACTCATTGCCCTGACTCGCGAAAGTATTTCCGAGACCGCCGAGAACCCAAGGCAATCCGAGACTACGGATAACAATATAAGAAATCCGACCGCTGAGACACAGGTTGGGAATGGGGCTAGCGCCGTGCCTCAAGAAGACGGCAGGTCGCTGTTGATCGATGAATTGGGTATCCTGCGCGATCTGTTTGACCTCGGCTGGCTCAGTGACTGGGGCTCGGATCCTACCCAGCCGCCTGTCTGGGATACCTCGGGGTTTATGACGGGCTTTGATGCTCGGCGGGATTCTGGTGCAGCTCGTCGTGGTGGATGAGCATGTTGCCAGAGTGGTGATACTGTCCTTTCTGTAACGTTAATCAGTGCTTGCTATTGTGTATATTATATATAGTCCTTTGAACCTCGGCCAGCTGGACCGTCTATTATTTCCTTAATACGTCCATAAATGCACACCCATGGGGTCCGCAAAAACCGAGTCTCTCCCCAGAGACGGCAAGCCCCCGAAGCGCGTCCGATCAGCCGAAACCGCCGATATCGCCCCCTCACGACGGCGGCGAATTGCATAAAGGGAATAAAATCCGGATCAGCCACCTCAACGAAACAGTTGATCCAACAGCTATCGGATGCGCCTTTACAATGACTGCTACCGCCGAGCCACAGGAGATTATCGAGCGTCTCAAGCAATGGGGCGCTTGTGACGTAAGACCACCCATCCACAGACCCCACACAATGGTACTTGTTGACCAGCTCATGGTCACTGCTAATATGCCCTAGGTTGCTGACGGCCTCAGCAAACTCAAACACCCACACGGCGGCTTTCTTGAAGGTCTCACTCTCTATTCACCTGAATACCAAGCCGGAGAGACAAAGATCGTTGGCCAAGCATTCACCGTTAAATTTGTGCCCAAAGATGACGAAGCCGCGCCGAAGCTGAGTGGGAACTATGTACGTGACATGCCTGCCTGAGCACTCAAGTTTACAGCCGTGGTTTGGCTGGCTGATGATTATGTTGTAGATTGATATGGTCCCACCCGGGGCTGTAATCGTGATATCCCAACCGCTGCCACAGGTAAACGCTGTCTACGGCGGGCTCATGACGCTGCGGGCACAGGCTCTAGGTGCAGCGGGGGTGGTGATTGACGGACGTGTACGGGATTTGGGAGAGCACAGGGCGCTCAAATTTGCTGTATGTCATATATCTCCTTCCTCCCCACAAGTCATACTTGGAACCAGGTCAACTCTATGGCTTAACAACTATGTTAACAAGCATTATTAAATGGTGTAGCTGTTCGCCAGATCGCTCGGCACGACAGCTGGCGGGGCAGTCTGTCGGCCTTCTGAAGTTAACGTCCCCGTCCGGCTGCACTCTGAGCACCAGGAAGCTTGGATCAACCCGGAAGATTATATAGTGGCGGATTTGAATGGGGTTGTGCGGGTGCCAAGAGAGGTGGTTGAGAAGGTGCTTGATGTTATTCCAGAGATTGTGGAGGCTGATCGGAAGTGTGCAGAGGGGATTAGGGCGGGTAGAAGTGTAGAGGATGTTTTTAAGGTCTTTAGAAAGCGGTAGGGGGTGGAATAGTAACAGAAGGCTCGGCTGCTATGGCTTGGCTATCCAGTTCCTCGCGCCCGATAGTATATCTGTGTATGAAGAGGCAGCTTTAGAAAAGGAGAATTAAATCTGATATATCCCGTTCACTATCTTCATTAGTGTAGTAACTCGATCGCTTCAAGTTATACCTCTCGATGGACAGTGGTAAATCAGGATCAAACGCGTCAAGCAGCAAACATCCCAATGCCAGAGGGCAGTGCCTACAAAGCAGCAGAGAAAGGGTGGAACAGTCACGACTCCACCACCTTTCAGGATACACGAGGTGTTACGTAGGCTAAGCAATGTATCGAAACCCCTCCCTTCTTGCAACGCGCTCCTCATCAGAGACACCAGCAATTTCCCGCTGACTTTGACCTCTCATCTCCTCCGTCACGGTCGATTCACCTCTCTCAATGCGCCGATTAGCGCGAAGAAGAACAAATCGCATGAAAATAGCTAGCAAAATCGCGCCGAGGGAAAAAGCTGAGTTCGCCGCCATGGCGGTCACGTACCGCGGAGCAGAGTTATCGGGGTAGAAGTACGAAGAGAAAATCTGCAAAAGCACCATTGGCATGGTAAGCCCTTTACTTACTTTGCTCGTCGAAATTAAGGAAGTAGGCACATACTTGCGAAAGGTTCCCAAAGGCATTAACAAACGCCACAGCCGAGGCCCGCTTGATCCTAGGCCGAAGCATGGTCTTTTGTGTCCAGGCCAGC